ATTTACCCTAGAGCCGCCATCTCGAATGACCTCGATGAGGATAGAAAGCCTGCGGCTTGTCAAAGTTTCCGTCCCCCATCGTTCCGAGAAGAGTCGACTCGATAATTTAAGAAGTTTAGTCATTGGACACAACCTTTTCTAATGTGGTAATATATTTTCGTAGGCGAGGTCTCCATTCTTGAGTAGAGTAATTCAGGAGTTGGCACCCAGTGTTGTTGACGGGAAAGTACCCGAAATGGATTCTTAATTGTGACCCTCAACTGACCTTGTTCTAGTGTTCCATTTACATAATAGGTTCAAGTTAAACTGTGCAGTAAGAAGGAAGAAAAACAGTACGGAACACATCTGGCACTCTGTAAATTACCTGTTCTATGGGATGCCTCACTAATTTGAGGACATTTGTGTTGTTAATTGTTACCTAGCAGTAAAATAGGTACCTGGGTGTTAGTCAGCTGTCACGGGCTGCTTCCTGGGGGTGGAGGCCTGGTCGAGGACCGAGCCGCGGGGACACTAAAGCCCCGAAATCATCTCGAGATTGCCGGCGGAGGAGGGCAGTTTGTTGTGCACCCCATACTGAACGTAGTCATAACGATCCATAAGGTTATGCCTGCTGTCTGTGTTAGAGATTGATTGATCGATGAAGATTAAGTCACCCACTGGTATGAATAGCCCGTAATGCTGTACGCGCACAGTACGAGAGGAGGTGTATTGGAGGCAGGGCAGATGTGTTGAGTGACAACTTGATGATTACAGTGAGTTGTGTGTAGTGTAGCGGATGTGGGGGAGGGGGTAGGCGAGCACACTTGTGCGTGGCTGTACGTGAAGTTAGTGGACCCGGTGTTTGAGGGGTGGGGGGGGGACGCATTTAAGAATTAAAGAAAAAAGGAATGGAAGGGAAGTATGGAAGATTGGATTTCGGGGGGCGGGGGGAGGAGATAGGAAGAGGGAGGGGGGATAGGCAGAGGGAGGGGGGTAGAGATAGGAAGAGGCAGGAGGAGGGAGGGGTAGAGATAGGAAGAGGCAGAGAGAGGGAGGGGGTGAGAAGAGAGATAGGAAGAGGCAGAGGGAAGGGGGTAGGAGATAGGAAGAGGCAGAGGGAGGGGTAGGAGATAGGAAGAGGCAGAGGGAGGGGGAGAGAGGAAGAGGGAGGGGAGAGAGGGCGGGAGAGTTGTGGCGGTGGGAAGTGGAAACCTGTGGCAGCTGTTGTTCAGTGGCTGGACAAGCTTGGTGGGCGGCAGGCAGGCACGCGCGGACCGTGTCTTGTGCTCTACCAGCACGGTTGATACCTCTCACACGCCTCCCTCGCTACCTCCTGGGTTTATGAAATGCAGTGAACAACATTCCCTGGCTCCTGAGGCCGTATGTAATGAGCGTTCAGTCAGCACCTTTCCGCACATGCATGCAGTCAGTCAGCACTCGCACTCTTCACACATGCATGCACTTTCTATCATTGGTGAGTGGACCAGAGTTGTCATGCACTCACGTCTCTCCCTCACACTATATAGGAGTACACGTGCATCCTCCCTCCCTCCCACACATTATGTAGGCTATATATGTCTCTCCCTACACTATATAAAGGTATACATGAGTCTCCCTACACTATATAAAGGTATACATGCGTCTCCTTACACTATATATAAAGGTATACATGCGTCTCCCTAAACTATTAATATACTTGCGTCCTTTCCTCATAGAATATAAGGCTATACATGCATCCCTCCCCAAACACTGGGAGTACACTTTGCTGCATTGTAAATATTTCTGCATGCTTACCTTTGAATATAAGGCAGGAGGACTTGGAGGCTCATATGCCCTCCTAGCCTAACTTTGCTACTCCTTTCCTGCCATTGTTAAGATATACATTTCCTGTCCACCAAGATATATTTTGAAGACGCCAACATATTTTGCTGTTCTTGCTTTTACACGATGATCTTTTAACCTGTCCAGTACGAGTATATTGTGGGAGAAGCAGACGTGTGCAGGCGATGAGTCGCAATAATGTGGCTGAAGTATGTGGACCAGACCACACACTAGAAGGTGAAGGGACGACGACGTTTCAGTCCGTCCTGGACCATTCTTAAGTAGATTGTCTTGAGAATGGTTTAGACGACCGAAACGTCGTCGTCCCTTCACCTTCTAGTGTGTGGTCTGGTCTACAAGCAGACGTGTGTGTGAACTTCTGTAAAGTCATTGCATCATCACGGTGTATATATTGCTTGGGAAGAGGGTGGATGCGATTTCTTTTTTTGGTGATTAGGATGTATTTTTATCCAATGATTGACATCCGGAGGGAGTAGGGTGGCGGCGTGACGGTCGACTGGTCAGTATGACTGATGGCTGTCATTGCTATCCTGCCACCATGATCACTACTTTTCCTAATACCCAAAACTGCAGTAATTGTCATCCTAGTGATGGTGGGTTTGATGGCTTTGTTTACAGTTATTAAACAGTTAATGAGCTCCGAAGCAAGAGGAGTCTGTGTATAACAATAACAACAGTTGATTGGGAAGTTTTCATGCTTGTAAACTGTTTAATAAATGTAACCAAAGGCGTCAAAGATTGAGGAAAGATGTACACGTTCGTAAGTACTTGCGTAACTGCTTCGTGAATCTGGCCCCATACACAGCCTCAAATGTGGAAGGTGACGGCTTATAGGCTCTGGAACCTGTACACCGGTTAAAGGGTGGGAGGCACAAGGAACACTTGCATGAGGGGGGGGGTGATGTGCACTTGGCACAGGCAGTGTGCTGGGGGAGGGGGGGGATGATGTGCACTTGGCACAGGCAGTGTGTGCTTGGGGGGGGGGGTGATGTGCACTTGGCACAGGCAGTATGTGCTTGGGGGGGGGAGGGGTGATGTGCATGCACAAGTAGTGTGTGCTTGGGGGGGGGGGGTGATGTACACTTGGCACAGGCAGTGTGTGCTTGGGGGGGGGTGATGTGCACTTGGCACAGGCAGTGTGTGCTTGGGGGGGGGTTGATGTGCACTTGGCACAGGCAGTGTGTGCTTGGGGGGGAGGGGTGATGTGCATGCACAAGCAGTGTGTGCTTGGGGGGTGATGTTGTGCACTTGGCACAGGCAGTGTGTGCTTGGGCGGGGGTGATGTGCACTTGGCACAGGAAGTTTGTGCTTTGGGGGGGGTGATGTGCACTTGGCACAGGCAGTGTGTGCTTGGGGGGGGTGATGTGCACTTGGCACAGGAAGTTTGTGCTTTGGGGGGGGGGGGGTGATGTGCACTTGGCACAAGCAGTGTGTGCTTGGGGGGTGGTGATGTGCACTTGGCACAGGCAGTGTGTGCTTGGGGGGTGGTGATGTGCACTTGGCACAAGCAGTGTGCTAGGGGGGGGGTAATGTGCACTTGGCACAAGCAGTGTGTGCTTGGGGGGTGATGTGCACTTGGCACAAGCAGTGTGTGCTTGGAGGGGGGGTGATGTACACTTGGCACAAGCAGTGTGTGCTTGGGGGGGGGTAATGTGCACTTGGCACAAGCAGTGTGTGCTTGGGGGGGTGATGTACACTTGGCACAAGCAGTGTGCTAGGGGGGGGGTAATGTGCACTTGGCACAAGCAGTTCATTATGCAGTTTTTTTAGGTGGATATTACAACATTTGTGGGTGTCACACATTGAATATTATGACCAGATTAGCAAGTCCTGTGATACCTGTTTAAATGTCACTGAAAGCTAAAGAATAAGAGGTGACAATGAAAGTGTTGTACAGTATTTGACTATCAAGCAGGTATGACATCTTTTAAGAAACATTTTGATATTGGCCAATTAAACATAACAGTAGTTGCTAATAATTTGTAAAGTGATCATAATCAAAGGAAGCAAATGTTTTTTTTATTTTTTATAATGGTAAACATGTGAAATGGCTGATTATTTAAGGTACCGTAATAACAATTTGATTACATACGGTGAAAGAATGGTATGTGGGTGTACGGGGCTTTGGTGTATTGGGGGGTCGATTTGCCTGTTTGAGCGATTTGTGTGGCTTGCTAAGTGTTCTTGACCCTTCATGCTGTTGTGTACTGTATTGACCTGTGTCTTTCTCTACTGGTAGAATATAATACAGCAGATAGTTCATAACATTTTGACTAAAGATTGTTAAATAAAGTATTGTATTGTGCTTTAGTATTAATTTATAGGCTAAGCCCATATAATTTGTTTACACATGTCTCCCAGAGCATAGGGGAAATTTGGGAAAATGCTGTACTGTAAGTACTAGTATTTACGAAAATGCAACCGAGTTCAGGAGGTATTATCTAGCTTATTGTAGACACAATTGTGTGTTTGGCAGTCACCAAGAGTAGTTGTTTTCTGCACAGAATCAAAGTATTTTGTAAACTGGGGTTGCAATTTTTTAAATTTTATAGATTGCAGCATGCAGCTAATACTCCTTGTAATAATTTAGCTTTAGCTACTTTACTAGATACAGGATGTTCTGATGTTCTGGGACCAGATTCACGAAAGCACTTACGCAAACACTTACGAACCTGTATATCTTTTCTCAATCTTTGGCGGCTCTGTTACCAATTATTAAACAGTTAATGAGCTCCGAAGCACAAGGAGGCTGTTTATAACAATAACAGTTGAATGGGAAGTTTTCATGCTTGTAAACTGTTTAATAAATGTAACCAAAGCCGTCAAAGATTGAGGAAAGATGTACACGTTCGCAAGTGCTTGCATAAGTGCTTTCGTGAATCTGGCCCCTGTTCTTTACTAGATACTAAATGTTCTTTAAAATTGGTTAGGCATTTCTTGAGTACAATGTTGAAAGAGGTAGAAATGTGGTACTTTAGCAACAGGTGTTATGCTTGTCCACCTTACATTTCTTAGTGTTAGAAAAGACTGAAACTTTAATGTCAAGTTTCATTTGCAACAGATTAGAGTTCATTAGGTCAGATAAGAGTTGTCTTCATTATGCTTAGTTATTTCTGTAAATTTTATTTAAAAAATTAAAACCTTGAAATGATTACCTAATCTACATTAATCACTGACAGAGGAGGTGGCAAATGCTGTTGGGCAGACAGGTGGCCGTTATGAAGGGGAGATCAAAAGGTTAAAAAAACTTTCGGAGAGGTTAGAAACGGAGAAGCAGCACTACCGACGCTTATACGAAAGACAATTGGAGGTAACATGATTGGTTATTGCAGTTTGACCTTGTAAAGTAAGGAAATATGTTTTGAAATTGTTTTGACTAGACATGCATTTTAATTTATATAATAAACAATTTGTATAATGTAGTGCTAAGGTACACATTTCAGGTAAGTGACAAGGAAACTTAAGTTTGAGCAACACAGAAGCTTGAAGACTAACATTGTTTTGAGCCATGACAAAATTGGTTGCATGCAAAAAATGTTGGGTCATTTTTGACAGTACCTGTACTGAATGCCAAGTGTGCCTCGATTATTTAGAACATTTTTTCTTGTGCATGCCTTATCATAGTTGATTTCCTTTGCATTATTAATTTGTGTTTAAGCTAAATGCTTAAGTGCACTGCAGCTTTGTTTATAACCATAAGACCACAGCTTGAAAATAAGAAAACTGTAAAAATACAACTACACTGAGGTGTAATTTATGGGCATTAAAAAGCAAACAAAAATGTACCTTGTTTGAAACCATTAAAAGATAGGTTGGTAATAAACTGGCTTAGTCTTGGAGAGTTGTCCAGATAGTCTTATAAACTGGCTTAGTCTTGGAGAGTTGTCCAGATAGTCTTATAAACTGGCTTAGTCTTGGAGAGTTGTCCAGATAGTCTTGAAATTCATCAGATCCAGTAGTGTATAAAAGAGCAAATATTGACAACAGAAATAAAATGGTGAATTTTATTATTACAGCAAATTTTTTTTTCTTCATATAAACATGAAAATTCAGTTACTTCATTTCTGCATTTGGTAGTAAACATGTTGCATCAAATTTAGCCATTAATGTACATTAATTAATGTACATAACCAGTCTAGGGGGAAATGATAGTAAAAATTTACATAATGGGTTCCCATTATGTAAAAACAGGTACAGGAATCTGTTTTAGGCCACTATTGATGTTCTCCTTGGCCAACTACTGATTCAGGTGAACAGAAGTATCTGGGGAAAGGAAATATGTCAGTGTATTTTACGTAAACTGAATGTGTGAAGCTTTGCCCAAGAATGCTGAAGTGTCTTAAAAGTTCATTAATGTGATGTGTACAGTAGTTAGAAAAAAAAGACTGTAATGGAATGGTTATTACTTGGGGGGGACCAAGTACTCTGAGCTTGGTTCTGGTACAAAACCAGGCCTCTGAAATCCCTCCATGCCTACTGGAAGCTAAAACCCGAACCTGGCTCCTTGTATAACGAGGATAGCTTTGAGATGCGAAGTTGACCCAAAGTTGGGGAGAGCCTCGCTAGACAGCATGGGTGCAACATGTCTAACAACTGCTAGATGGAAATTAAAAGCCCCAAGGAAGGTAAGGCAAATGATGGTTGCCATAGGGAGAATACCTGCATCATAATGCACCCAGCCACCACCAAATGTCAGTCCAGGTTACCTTGGCTCTCGGCCAACCAGCCTTCTCGCTCTTCAGCTGTCCATGTAGAACCCCATACCCTACCAAGAGGAAGGTCAACAAGGTAGAAATGTGGAGCTATTGGGGCCCCACCATAGAAGGTTGATTTATTATTCTAGATGTTTGGTTTCTGGGAGGGACCCCATGGTGTACCTCCCACAGCCTAATCTAAATTCCTTCTCTCGAAAATGGAAAAGACTGATTTGGATTACCAGTTAGAAAATGACAAGTGAAGGGTCTGGGGACAAAGATCTGCAGCCACACACCAAACTCTTGAGCATAACAAAAGTGTGGCGAAGCTGAGGGACATCAACAAGAAACAAATCTAACAGGACTCCCTAGAAGCCCCAAGCCCAAATATTGGCAGTTAACAGAATGGAGAGGGAAAGCAGTCAATGAAGCAAACATTCACACGTTAATAGAGCGGGGACAAAAAATCGGCTGGCATTTGGGACACTTGGGACTAGTTCTGGAATGCTATCCCAATTATGGTGTCTACACCTTAAAAGCACCTGAGAAAATATGAAAAGGAGCAGAAATTTGCAACAAGGCTGGTCCCAGTGGTCTGAAATAAGCATGGAGAGAGATTTTAAGAGCTATACTTAACAATACGGTAAAAGAGGAAAGTGAAGCTGTTTAAATGGGACACAATACTTAAAATAACAGATGAGACATGGTCGTGATAAAATACTGTACTCATAATATTAGAGTAGGAAAATGGAATGAACTCAGAGGTAAAACTCCATGTAGAATTTAAATGGTAGATAAGGCATGCGAGTTAGAAAACATTACATAAAGACAACTGACCACTGAAAGGTATGGGTGGTGTGGTTCAAATAGATGCGTACTTAATCCTGTAGGCACAAATAAGTGCGAGCGTGGCAACACTTGCCGAGACGTAATTGGTCAAATTGGCATGGAATATCGAGCAGAAGTTCTCCAAAAGATTGGTCGTAGGTCCCATTACTATTCATCTGTGAATGACTAAACTGTGGGATGGAGTCCTACAAGTCACTGTTTATGAATGTTGCAGCATTATTAACCATTAAACTGCACAGGCTATTTTAATGCATTCTGTCATGTGCAAGAAAAAAGTGATTTTTTTTTCTTATGACATTGTTAAGTAGCATCCAGGAAGCACAAAAATCCACATATAGTCTCCCTTTCATGGCTGTATTGGCCCAGAGAAATTGTTTTTTGGTAGAAATGAGGTGACATGTCAGAGTGAAATGACTTAGTCCATTTATTTGTATTGTTTCTCATTTGTATTTTAGTTTTTCATGCTCACATGTTGTACTGATGTCAATAGTGGTCTGTATGATGCATAACTTTGGAAATGTATGTATATACAGATGGGTGCATATTAAATATATGCACCCATCCTGTATTAATTCACACAATTTATTCACTTGGACTATGAGAGGTTATCTTGAGATGATTTTGGGGCTTTAGTGTCCCCGCGGCCCGGTCCTCGATCAGGCCTCCAACCCCAGGAAGCAGCCCGTGACAGCTGACTAACACCCAGTTACCTATTTTACTGCTAGGTAACAGGGGCATAGGGTGAAAGAAACTCTGCCCATTGTTTCTTGCCGGCGCCCGGGATCGAACCCGGGACCACAGGATCACAAGTCCAGTGTGCTGTCCGCTTGGCCGACCGGCTCCCGAGAGCCTGGAACCCATGACCACAGAAGTGGAAGACTGAAGTTCTACCAACCAGGCTACAAACACCCACAATAAAAGGATCCCAGAGAACCATCACTGGTATCCAACTCTGACTTTAGGCCTGGTTGGTAGAACTTCAATCTTCCCCTTTTTGTAGTCGTGGGTTCGATGCTCCGATGGTCCAAGGGAATGAAATGTTATTTAAACATTTATTGTGGTTTGCAATTTATACATACAAATACAAATCTTGTGATTTGTATTTGTATGATCACAAGATTTTTAAATCTTGTGATTGCACATACTGTACCAGTAATACCTATTTTGCATGCAAATATGTATGTACTGTACATGGATATACTGTACAGTATATATAGGGGTCCCGATAGTACAGTCGGGTTCGTTCTCGACGCACAATCGAGAATTCCGGGTTTGAATCCCGGGCGGGGCAGAAATGATTTGGCACATTTCCTTTCACCTAATGTTCCTGTTCACCTAGGAGGGAGTAGGTACTCAGGAGTTAGTCAGTTTGTTGTGGGGTTGCATCCTGGGCAGGGTCAGTAATTCGGTCTTTGGGGACCTCTATACAAGCCAAATGTGTGTGAATAAACTCTGCCTTCCTGTTCCCAGACTCGGTGAAATATACTGTATCACACATTGGCTGTTTAAAAGTTCAATGGTTCTTAGCCTGGCCACCCTGCATGTTGTTTTGCTAGATGTGCCAGACATGGTCTGCATCTTTAACACTTTTGCTGCCTGATGACGTTGTCGTCATCATTAAACCAAAATACTGTGTATGCCCGATGACACAAACAGCGTCGTTAATTTTTAAAAATTTGTAGAAATTCCATTTATTGTTTGAATACTATAGGATTTGTTCTGAAATGCACACCAACTTCTGCCCATTCTCTGTATACCCCATGTGGCATCCTGACCCTGGTGTGTGGGCACCTACCCATGCTAGAGGCTCACTGTTCTCGTGACCTCACTAGTGATTGCCGTGGCTCTCCTGGAGTCGAAACGTTTCCCCATTCTGGTTATTTTATCTCTGGTATTTGTTGTTACTAGCTTTATAAACACTACAAATAGACTTCCAGATGGATACTGATCAAGAAAGAACAAATCCAGGACAAAAGCAGTGAAAGAAACATGTATGAGGAAACAGTTAGTGGGGGTTTTCATCGAAAGTATAGAAAAGTGAGACTTATATTTTCCTGTTCGCAAATATCCCTTTACAGCATTCTATTGCAAGCAATTTGATACCAAATTGAATGATGTAGCGAGAAAAATTGAGGTTATCTTGAGATGATTTCGGGGCTTTAGTGTCCCCGTGGCCCGGTCCTCGACCAGGCCTCCACCCTCCGGAAACAGCCCGTGACAGCTGACTAACACCCAGGTACCTATTTTACTGCTAGGTAACAGAGGCATAGGGTGAAAGAAACTCTGCCCATTGTTTCTCGCCGGCGCCTGGGATCGAACCCGGGACCACAGGATCACAAGTCCCGCATGCTGTCCGCTCGGCCGACCAGCTCCCCGAGGTTGGAAAGCCAAAGAGTATAAACATATGTGGGTGGTGGGGAGTTAGTGCGCACCGCTCGGCCTACCTTGAGGTGCGCAGTGAAAGTGTTAATAAGGCCTTGGAAGGAAACTAAGGGACTTTGAATTTTTTCCAAATATGGCAAATGATCAATAGAGATTTCTAGTGTCAAATTATGTCCTCCCCTTCTCTCTAGAATGGGTGGGGTTTTTCAATATTATGAGGCACTGTAATCATCTCAAATAGTTGGAGCATATGGCCCAATCACTTTCAAGTGATTGCAGCAGTTTATGGGTCAAGATTAGGAATAGAGGAAAATTAGTAGAATACGCCAAGATGACCTAGAAAGGCTGCAGAGTTGGCCCAAGACATGGCTTTTTGGAATTTAATACCAGTAAGTGCAGGATGATGAAATTGGTGAAGGGGATAAGAAACCACCAGAAATTGGTACATATTGAAAGGAAACAACTGCCCTGAAATTACTAATCTTAAAGGTCCTAAGAATGACAAAAGTCTTATCCTGAGGCATTTGCAAATAGGATATTGTAAGAGATATATGAAAAGGTTTCTTTTGCAAAGAGTTGTGGACAATTAGAATAATTTAAGTGAGATGATGGATACCAAAACCATCAGCAGTTTTAAGTCATGGGACAAATTATTGGGAAGGTGGACCACAAATGGAAGTTGTCATCCTGTAACTTAGGAAAGCATACTGAATAGGAATGTTTGTATATACAGTATACTGTACATCCACAACCCTTTATATATTGCAGTAGGAAGGTAAGGTGTTAACAGTTGCTATCTTTGTTGCTGAAAAACCATTTGATTCATAATGTTTCAGGTACAGCAAGCTTAAGGTACTTTAATTTGTTAAGAATTTATCAAGTTAATTATCTTTATTTTTAATCTAATTAATACTTTGAGATGCAGTACTGTACTGTATATAGATATTACCAAATTGGTGCTAATAGTTTCCCTGTCATGCTCAGGAATCAGATATACGAACAAAAGGCGAGAGTTTGCTGAGCCCGGGAGTTTTGTCGGCCGTTACAAAGTCTCTAGCGAAGAGAGTTCCAAGTCTGAGCCCATCAGCGTTAAGTACACCAGAAAAGACCACTTCTAGCTCTGCTGTAGGAACTCCCTCCTCATTAGGCACAGGGGTTGATGCTGAGAACTTGGAAGACAGTATGAAGAGGGTGAGTATCTAGAGCGGTCATACCTGCAATAGAAAATATCACATCTGTTACGACGTGTGCATTGGAGGATAACGGTGCCAAGTGTCTCATAATCAAAATTGCAGAAATGGCTGGAGGTGCTTGCCAAATAATTACTGCAGACACTAAAGTTGTAAGATACTGTACCAACATATCATTAAGATAGCCATAATTAATATACTGTACATGTACTGTATTGTATATATAAATGTAAAGTTACAAGTATTATTCATTTTACTCTATAGGCGTTCAAATACTTAAATCTTAGCAGCATTAACAAACGTGCATACTCGGATCTATGCATATCTAATCTAGTAGATTTAGAAGATTTATCTCTAGTAGTTTGCTTTGGCTGAAATTGACTTGAGTGATTATATTGAGAATGAGTACAGTATAGGTTTGTGAAATACAGGCAAATAAGCTACTGTGTTTATGGTTAAAATTCAGTAAGTAGATTTTGGATTAGTAATATGCAAGATATCAGTTAATCGTTGAGAGAGGATGGGAGTGGGGTTTTTTCCGACAACTACTATCATTCCTTTTGGTGCAATTTTCTTGAACCTGTTTAAAAGTAATTACGTACAAAACGTAAGTGAAGTTCAGCTTTGGAAAATAGCGCTAGCCATCATGAAATTCTGCCATCTTATGTTTATTAAATACAGTATTTAGGTGAATATTGTGTACCATTCTTGTAGGTATACATTATCAGAGATCTTTTCTTATGCATTGAATGCTATATTACTTGAATGTTTCCCTGTAAATCTTTGACAATACAGTATGCCCTTTGCTGGTGAGATGCTTTCTGGGAAAGCTGTGTTCTACGTGAGCTTGCATAAATAAGTTTATTCTGTGCGGGAAAAGTAGATTTGTTCCAGACCAACTAAAGTTTCCCCTTCATTTGTTCCAGACCAACTAAAGTTTCCCCTTCATTTGTTCCAGACCAACTAAAGTTTCCCCTTCATTTATTGGTAACTTGATGTAACGGCTACCTAATCAGTATTTCTAAGGACTTTCCATATCCTAGCCACAAATATTCAGTATAAATTAGATTGTACACTCTACATTCATGTAGAAGAGAGACTTTTACATTTTGTTTCGTGTGCATCCTGGGGGTGCAACACGAATTGCAGAATGTTGCAAGAATGTTTACTTTTTCTTTAAATACACAAAGCTCAGACCACACAAACGATGCCTTGCACCTTGTTGATAGAGCTTCGGCCTTGCACACAGTTAATCTCCTAGAGCCCAGGTGAATACATTGCACATTAAGTTTTATTGAGTTAAGAGGAAATGCTTCAGCTGTGGGAAATTTGCTGTGCACTGATTATACTTTATAAGGGTTTACTGTATCCACTACACACCTAACAGGCTCTGCATTTCATTTACTACCAGTACAATTTTCATATTTTTAAGTACAGTATACTGTATATATATATATATATATATAATTATAATTTTTTTTTATACATAATGTAGCCAAGAATGTAATAAATATAAATTACTACCTATCTATTGATGATTTCGAGGATTGACGTGCCCCATGGCCCAGTCTCTGACCAAGCCTCCTATACCTCTATGTACTTTTTACCTGAATTCTTGAACAGTAAGTGTAATTAATTGACAATTGGTACACTTAATTTTATTATTAGTCAAATATTTTGCCAGTACAGTACTCTATAGCATTAAACTTTTAGCCATTTGGAGTAGAATACCTCGAAATATTTGTACAGTACTGTATATAAGCAGCACTAGTAGTGTACAGGTATTTGCCATTTTATGGGTTGGCCTCTGTAAGTTACCAGTGCCTTGGCTCTGATACTAGTCATCCACTAAACTACCAAGGGCCAGATTCACGAAAGCACTTACACAAGCACTTACGAACCCTTACATCTTTTCTCAATCTTTGGCGGCTTTGTTTCCAATTATTAAACAGTTAATGAGCTCCGAAGCACCAGGAGGATGTATGTAACAATAACAACAGTTGAATGGGAAGTTTTCATGCTTGTAAACTGTTTAATAAATGTAACCAAACCCGTCAAAGATTGAGGAAAGATGTACACATTCGTAAGTACTTGCATAAGTGCTTTCGTTAATCTGGCCCCAGGCCTCTGGACTTGCACAGGCCTATCAAACACCAGGACCAGAATCTGATGTGCTGGTAGAGCTATGAGGAGGGAGGGGGGCAGATCAGAGATTGACCCAAAGCCAAATACAAGGGAAATATAAAAAACTACTTATTTGATGATAATATGGAAACAGAGAAGCAGTAAATTTGCCCATTATCAACGAGAGCACGAGTTGATGACCAAACCATACGCCAGAAGGTGGAGACGACGTCATTTCAGACCATTGGGAAGTCGATTGATAATGATCCAGGACGGACCAAAATGTCGTCGTCTCCTCATCTTAGTGTGTGGTTTGGCAATCATATCTTCAGCCACATTTTTGTGACTCATTGTTTGCAAAAGCATGAGTTAGTACCCAAGCTTGCCTGCCTCATTACTTGTGTGCCTGGTACAAAATACATTACTACTCCTCCACAAGGACAGTTTTCAAGCCAAGTGGTGTTAATGTTCATATGGGAATTTGTTGTCCCTTAAGGTTAAGGGTGGGGGGGGGATCATGGAGTCATGCTTAGTAGCTGTCCCTCCCCCACCTCTTAAATTGAAGGCTGTATTTATGCTCCATATCTCGTGTATCTTTGACTGGTTCACCTCAACATTATGGGATGCCTTCCTTGGTTTTGGCTTACATTTCCCATTTCTTCACTCATTTTCCCTGAGGCATTTTTATATTTTAGCCCAAATAGGAGTACAGCTTGAGGTTATATTGAACAATAAACTTTAATAAATTCAAGTTAGTGCTAGACTTCTCAACTTGAATAAAAATTTGGGCTATTGTGATTTCTGCCAAACAAGAATCCCGAATACATTTGAATTTATTCCATTTTTGGACATTCCTTGTAAAAAGTTGACCAACTCAAATGGGTGGTCTCCACATGATTTGGATTACAGCGCAGAGCTGGTACAGTATTTATTAAGTTTGAATATTCCTGCCTAGTCATTCCATGATGTGCCATAGTTTTCTGATTGCAAGACTTTGGCAGTGGGTTTGAGTCAGTTGAGTACCATTACCTCTCTTCACCAGTCCAGCCTCTTCCTGTCTTATCCAAGTTGAAGACCTTTGTTGCAGTGTTCTTCTTGTACAAGGTTTTAATGTTCCCTGCCCTTGATTATCTAATTCAGCCTAGGCTTCTTTCTTATAGGAGTAGTTTTTATTTTGGCTTTGGTAGTCTCATTATCATGCTCTTCTCCAGGAGTAGTTTAGCTATTTCTGGCCTGAAGCTATTATATAAATATGAAGCTATTTAGCTGTGTCTGGCCTATTTCCTCCAGCCTACTGTTTTCGGTCAGGTCTCCCAACTTCTGAAGGGGTTCCTTAGTTATTGACTCTAGTTTGTCCAGTCAGGGGGTTCATCATACACTTTGTCCTGTTGCTGCTGTACAGCTTTACTTAATATGAATGCTATTCATGTTTCCAGGCTGGAATCCTGGGTCCTTGTTTCAAAACTCGGCTCTCTTCCCCTAGAGGGTTGTTCAGGTAGGCCAACTCAATATTTATTTCCATAATATGTGCAGAACTGTGCTGTTATTGTGACATTTTAGTTTTTCAGATACGATACTGTATGTCTACAGCTAATTGCCAGCCTCTTGAGTTTCTTTATGGTCCAATATGGTGTTAACTGGTTTTTTACATACTGGAGCTCGTGTCTCCACCTTATTGGTTACTTGGGCAGTTGTCCAAGTAACCCACAGGCTGGGTGAAGACACTGCTTTTGAGGGGGCCAATGGGGCAATACAGCAACGCATTGTGTATAATGAAACGCCTTTGTGCTGTTCCTCGGTAAATCTCTAATGTGCCAGTCTTCAACTTGGGGTTCGAGAAGCTACAGATAGTATATGAATGAGGCTCTTGGCATGCCAAGAGTCTGGTGGTGGTTGTGCAAGTTGAAGGTTGTTTGCTTGCTGCCAAGTATTATTTCCTTTGTTAATTTTATTTGAATAGCATTGATTGTGATTTTGCCTATGATGCTCTAGAGAGTAGATCAGCCTAAAACTGAGGAAAGTCTCTAAAGTTAGCTTACTTAAGTTGGCTTACCTAAGTTAGCTTACCTATTGAGCAAACATAATTCTGATCATGGTTTTCGGTAGGTCACAGAAGTCTTGGAGGCCTGGCACATTTTTAGAGGCTCAGTAGTACCAGTCATGAGCACCAGAAAGCCACCGAGGGACTGCATGGCGTGGCATTTAATTACGGCTTTTTTTGTTATTAAAGGCCCAGGAAGATGCAGATCTGTTGCGATCATTGGTGGAACCACTGGAGGAGGAAATCCAAGCTCTTAAAGAGAAGATCCGTGCTCAAGATGCCCAGTTAAGAGCTCATGAGGCCCAACAGGCAGCTTCTCTTCATACTGCTGACCTCGTGGCTCCACTCCTGAAGGGCACTGATGCGGCGCAGGTGGTGAAGCAGCTAGATGAGAAGGTGAGCTAAGCTAAAACAGCACATTAATGTTATTAGCTACAGTATCATGTACATGGTATTTTTATTTGGTTAATAATTTTTATTACTTTCCAGCTGAAGGGTGTGAGCAGTACTCTGGAAGCGGAGAAATCATCCCGGGCAGATTTAGAACTGTATACAGCCATTCTCAACACGCAAAAAACTGCTCTCACTGATGAAGTTGACAGATTACGTACACAGCTTACAGAACTCAGACAAGTATGTACAGTACTTTAAATACTTTAGGCAAAAGATAGAGCATTATAAATAGTTCTCTTAATTTATTCAGAAAGGTAGTGTCATCTCATGATTCAGGAACTAGCAATTTTATTTGTAGGGAATGAATATTCATAGGGAGCACTGTACACCTGACTGTGAAGTGGCAAGGTGGATGAGTTTGGTTTAGGCAGGTTGAGTGGGCAGGCTGGCTGGAGCCTCGGGTGACCTGGGTTGGGATGCCATTGGGTGGCATTCACACACATCATTATGGTATTTATCTCGCCGCAATGATTATCGTCATTATCTGTGGGGGTCTAATTTAAAGCCATTGCTGGTTTTGTTGTGCGTAAGCTTTCTGGGCTTTTTCCTTGTATTTAGGGTGATCTTTAAAACTCAAGCTTCCCTTCACCTTTGAGGCAAGTTCTTGTCCACTTTCCAATAAATGGCAAGTTTCTGAAACCAGATGCACCTTCCTAAGGCTTGGCCAGCCACACTTTAGTTTGGGGACCTACTGAGAGCCCACCAGGAAAGGAAGTATCATTACATTAATTTTGTTATTTTTTACTAATTGTTTGAATTTGTTGATTAGATTTTTTTTCTCCAAACAATAATTTCTTGCCCGTCTGTTGTAGTACAGTATTTGGCACTGTTACTCAGCTTAGTTTTAATGTTTAATTTGTGTGCATGTGCTGTATTATATTCTTTAGAACTAATTGTCTGTTGGTGTTAAGTGTACACTGGTTAGGTAATTGTGAGCTAGTGCAGTATGATCACATTTGGGTTAATATTGTTCTTGGTGCCATTGTGAATAAGAGACAATTAGAAGATACGACTGACACACTTATATTTCGGTGGCTGTCGTGCATATAAACATTATACAGGGTACTGTATTTCTATAGGTTTAATTGGAAAACAAATTTTAAAGTAGTCTGAAATCAACAACAATTGTTAATTATCGGTGCTGTTGTACAGGTGTACGAGACGGAGCGACGCCAACATAGAGATCTGAAGCACACTTGGCAACGAGCCAACGACCAGTTTCTAGAGACACAGAGACTCCACCTTGCTGACATGAGGCGAATGCAATCTCTCTTGACTCTTGATCAGCAGCGGAGATTAGAAGGCAAGTTCTAGTTTCTAGTCATTGATAATTTTATTTGTATTGGTATGCTTGTCATTTAATTCATTAATGGTGTAGAAAATGCTTAATGCTGACAATGTGTAGATGAAACTCCAAAGTGGGATGGTTCTTGATCGGTGATATCGTTCAAGAAAGCTTCAGAGTAATGTTATCAGTCAATAATATTTTCTTCAAATTTAACTTTTCAAACTCGACAGCAGTGAATGATTTACGTTCCACCACTTTTGCCTGGATCCATAATTCTTATGCCTACTTAGCTACCCAAGATTTCAAATGTTTATAAATATTTTTACATTTTTCTTTGTCCAAGTTTGGTTAGGCTACACGAACATGTGTGTGGGGGGGGGGGGCATGTGATGGTGATATTATACTGGGATTCTGGCAGGTTGTTTGGGAACATTTCTACTTTTGGGTTTTTCTCATTTTTATAACGAGTCTTTTTTTTCATCCTCTACTGCTACAAGTATCTTCGATCCTTTTCTTATGCACATAACTATGTACAGTACTTGGCTAGATTACGGTCTAGCAGCCATTATTCAGACCATCTTTAGTGTCAAGATCCTTAAAGGTATTCCAGCCTTACTCTGTTCTGATTATTGGTTTTGCATTTGTAACCTCGAGAGGAAATCGGCTCCTTCATAATCGTTGAAATACTATAAACAGGAAGTTGTAGCACCAATCCTTGTGTGCACTACCAGGTACCCCTCTCTCTCTCTCTCTCCTGATACTTCTCCTCTGTTACCCTTTGCTTCCTTCTTGAGTGGTACTCCCTCCCTCACTCATAAAAATGCACCAGCCTGCTTTCCTTACTTGAGTAGGAATATCTAATGTGGGACAGTATGAATGTGTACTTTTTTTAATGTACTCTCATAAATCTTGTTCTGCCTGTTAGTGCCTGCCTGCCTGCTGCAATTCAAAGCTAATTGGCATAGTGATTTAAGCTAGGAAACTTTCAACATTTACAGATTGAATATTATGCAGGAAACATGGGAGTACCATGGAGGCGCAGTGCAGTGATGTGGCGAGTGTTGCCAACTGTGGCAGGACACTTGGTAACTCTGGAGGATAGCAGGGCTGGCAACATATAAGATTAGGAAAGTACATAGAGATTGAAAGGACATGGATTAATTCTTGGAATTTTTTTTTTCATTGGGGTGGGAGGGGGTTTCAAGAATGACCTGAAGTAATTGCATACATTTAAGCATATTGTGTGTCTTACCCAATTGTTCCCTTGCAGAATTACAGCGGAGTGAAGAATCGATGGCCAGAGCTCCGTCCATCTCTCTCTCAGATTCTCGGACAGAGGTTAGACAGGAAGCCAAGCCAGCTTCCCCCCACTTGTCTTCTCTTTCCCCAGCTTCCAGAAAGAGAGGCCAATCTCCATCTCCAGAAAATGAGGTATTATTTTTAGCAAGTGGGATGTTTCAATGCATTGCTTTTATTAGCATGGATAGATACAGGAACATATGACTTCAGACTCGTGTTAGGAGGATTAGATCATCTCTTTCTACAGCTGGCTTAAGCTTTACCATAATAGTTTTGCCTGGAACATGAACCAATAATATGTTCACAACCAAGTCCTCCAATTACTATTGGGGAAAACAGGCAAATGGTTAAGGATAGGTAACAGTGAACTCACCCTGACCGGGGCTTGAACCTGGCTGAAATTGTTCACAAAGCATGGGATAAGCAGGCTAGATTGTTTTGAGGGTTTTATCAAGTTTAAAGTACAAGGATCAAGATTAAGGATAAGGCTAAGGGCCTTATGGATTTCTTTTTAATATACTGTACCTCAATCATTGATTGCTGGGTTTCAACCCTCTTAAATATGAATTATAAGTTATATTAATTCACTGCAGATTGATGATGATCGTTCTTCATCGTTGCTTGACCTGGACGAAGAAGCTGGTGCTTCTCTGCCTGCCACTTCACACCATACACATGGGTAAATGTCACCATAACAATCTACCACACGTGAAGATTACTGTACAGGGTGTTTGTGTTGATTTCTGCATATCTTGTTTATCTTCGTCTATCAAACTTCACTACAGCAATAACCCAATTCTACTGTACTCTTAACTCACGCATTTGGACATTGTAGTTGGACTTTGTTGCTCTTGTTTGGTTTATTGGAATGATAGGCAAGATGAGGTATGTATGGAGGTGTGTAGGCAAGATGAGGTATGTATGGAGGTGTGTAGGCAAGATGAGGTATGTATGGAGGTGTGTAGGCAAGATGAGGTATGTATGGAGGTGTGTAGGCAAGATGGAGGTATGTATGGAGGTGTGTAGGCAAGATGGAGGTATGTATGGAGGTGTGTAGGCAAGATGAGGTATGTATGGAGGTGTGTAGGCAAGATGGAGGTATGTATGGAGGTGTGTAGGCAAGATGAGGTATGTATGGAGGTGTGTAGGCAAGATGAGGTATGTATGGAGGTGTGTAGGCAAGATGAGGTATGTATGGAGGTGTGTAGGCAAGATGAGGTATGTATGGAGGTGTGTAGGCAAGATGAGGTATGTATGGAGGTGTGTAGGCAAGATGAGGTATGTATGGAGGTGTGTAGGCAAGATGAGGTATGTATGGAGGTGTGTAGGCAAGATGAGGTATGTATGGAGGTGTGTAGGCAAGATGAGGTATGTATGGAGGTGTGTAGGCAAGATGAGGTATGTATGGAGGTGTGTAGGCAAGATGAGGTATGTATGGAGGTGTGTAGGCAAGATGAGGTATGTATGGAGGTGTGTAGGCAAGATGAGGTATGTATGGAGGTGTGTTCTGCTCCTCACCGCACTTGCTTATTTATTGCTTGCATCTACTTCATTACAATCAACTTGACGTTTCGGTCCGTCCTGGACCATTCTCGTCGTCCCTTCACCTTCTAGTGTGTGGTCTGGTCAACAAGGTGTGTACTGTATGTATAATAACGCAAACCAGTTTTCCCTCTTTTGCATGAGGTGGGGAGGTATCAGACCAGAGGAGAAAAGGTAATGCTTTCTAGTAAAAAGGCTATTCACAAGTACAACATATAGCATCAGATAAAAATCACTACTACTGTCCACTCCATCAGTCAACCACAGCAGCACCCCACAACTTTGCAAGACCAGATGATCGTTAATGTGCATTCATTGCACACAATTGCTCCCTTACAAGTCACTTCCACCTAACTTTTTATCTTATGACCTGTGTTATTCAAGGTCTCTTCCCGCTTCCTTGCACACTGACCAAGTTTGCTCACCTTCTTCCTGGCTTTCCTCTTTTCCCCCTCATGTCTTCAAATTAATTACCTTTCACACACTTCACCAATCTCGTCCATTCGTTCAATCAATTTAGAGGTTAACATAAATGTGGGGAATCCAGGAAATTGGGATTTGTGGCATTAACAAATATAAGCATATATAAGTTTTATTTTAAAATTACAATTACAAATTACTCTTTAATTATGACTCTTGTATCCAAATTTGCATGGATACATGTTCCATCCACTGTGTTAATAAAATTTTAATCAAAATTAGCAAAAAATGTGTAAAAAAATTTTTGCATGGCATCAATTGATGTTTGAGTGAGGCATTGCTGTATTTGGTACTTTGATTCATTGTTATTGTCCTTTCATTGATGACTATGAAAGTAGTTAACATTGGGCATTTTTAAAGGGTATGACCCCAAAATGGATGGTTGTGCTAGTGAAGAGGATTTAGATTAAAATAATCGTGTACCTTGTAAACAAAATCTGGTTAATTGAAGTGTGGTACTGTATTAGTGAACAGATGGGGTTGTGCAGCATTGAAGTCAATAGTTTCATAGCAGAAAGGTTTCCAAGGGTTGCAACACTGTTGAGGGGGGTAATGTTTTTAATGTACACAGAAAGCACAGTAGCATGTTGCATCAAATGAATAAATCCACAAGGGCTGTAATGAGGGTTCGAACTTACACCCGGGATGATCCCAGACGCTGCCTTAGTCGACTAGGCCACAACATGGTCAAAAGAATTGCAATCGGGAATTTCACCGAATTCACACTGATCCTGTAGCCTCTCTGAGACAAAAATCAAGGTTTTACACAATTCCCCCATGTACTCGGGCTCTGCCAATAAGCTGTTCTACCTCTTTGCTCTCACTTCACAATAGCGTGATTCTTTGTGTAAAGAAGTAAGGGCGAAGAGGTAGAACTTAGTGGTGGCTGGTGCAACTAATTTTGGTGATATAGCTTCATGGAGCCCACAAGGGACTCCTCTAGAAATTGTCACATATATCAGTCATGACTTCACAATAGCATGATTCTGTGTGTAATGAAGTAAGGGCGAAGAGGTAGAACAGCTTGTTGGCAGAGCCTGAGTACATGGGGGAATTGTGTAAAACCCTGATTTTTGACTCGGAGAGGCTGCAGGACCCGTGTGAATTCGGTGGAATTCCCAGTTAAAATTCTTTTGACCATGTCGTGGCCTAGTCGACTAAGGCAGCGTCCGGGATCATCCCAGGCGTAAGTTTGAACCCTCTTCACGGCCCTTGTGGATTTGTTCAATCTTTTTAATGTTTTGTATTTATGAATTGTCAATACCATAGGAGTGAGCAGAGTGATGATCAGAGCAGCGAGGCAGAGACGCACAGCCTCCCTCCCGACAGCCTTGCCCCAGACAGTCTTGGACCTGACAGTCTTGCTCCAGACAATTTATTGGCAGAGCGGTTTAGTCCAGACAAGATGCCCCAGTTGACACACGATCAGCAGAAAGCTCTTGCAGGTGAGGCTTATGCTCTAGCAATGTTGGCTGTGAATGCTGTAAATATAAACATTGCAGTTGTTGCAGTCAAGTATGCCATCACATGCCAGGCTGTTGCTTTGGATTAGACGGTGTTGTTCAGATGCTGCCAGATCAGGATTACATCAGCTGGAGATTGGTGCACTACAATTATCATTATTGCATTTATAACCCATTCTGAATTTTGTCATTATAAATTTCTCAATTTTCACTTGTATGCTATTAACATTTTGTTAAAGTGTGTTGAGTATTAGAGAAATTGTTTACAAATTGATAAGTTTCATTTAATTACAATGTTATACTGTAAAACCAAAATAAAGTGAATCTGTCAAACTTCAATTTTTTAATTTAACTTCATACTGTCTCTATCATGAAAATGGAAGTAATAATTTAATTTTTGTTCATAAATGTTATGTAATGCATGTACTTAGTGGGCAAGTAGAGTATAGTTGTTACTTAGTAGTGTCTATGGGGAGCAAGAGCTGCTCTTGTGCCCTGCCTCCTGATACCTTTTAAGTCTCTAGATGTACTAGTTAACTGTCGGTGAAAGCTATGGATGAAGGTCACATCATCCCGGAGATCTGGAACAATTCCAGGGTTTGAATGTTGGCATAAAGAACCTAGTTAGCAGATTACAGAAACAGCCTCCTTTGCAGGTGATGAGTCACAATAACCATGGCTGAAGTATGTTGCCCAGACGCTACACACTAGAAGTTGAAAGGGACGACGACGTTTCGGTCCGTCCTGGACCAATCGACTTGAGAATGGTCCAGGACGGACCGAAACGTCGTCGTCCCTTTCAACTTCTAGTTTGTGTGGTAAAGAACCTGGTCAACCAGCCTCCTTTAGTAGCCTTTTGTGTATCTTTGTATCCAATTCTTATAATGTATTTCAGATATGACTCCAGATTCTGAAGGCATAACCCAGAGCGAGTCACTAATGTCTCCGGGCGAAGACGACTACATGGCTATTGAATTTACACCAAGCTATAATGCCATGCACAGTGGGACATTAGGGGTGGCAGGTGGGAGAAGAGTTGTCAGTGAGGCAGAGTGGAACCTCCTGAATGATGAGATTCGTCGTGCCAGGAGTCGCATGGGTCGCTCTTGCCAGCTGTGTGCCACCTATCAGACACAAATGCAGAAGGTAGGAGATCTTTACCAGTACTGTTTAATGGTGTTTATGCAAGGTAAAAACTATTTTGATGCCTTGTTAAAGGCTGCTATAGCGACAGACAAACTATCAAAGTAGTCTACAGGTAGTCGACGTTATTCTGCAGCTCTTGCTTGGCTGGCTAATCCATTTGGTTGCTCCCTAATGTAAGATCTGCCATGTTCATGGGAGAGTATAAGGAAGTTATGCTTGATGACATTGACACCAAAATTGCATACATTTCAAGTATTCTGCAGGTCACATTGGTCTTGAGAGCACAGTTCATTCCAGCTTGATGAAATGTTCTCTAGAGATTTTTGTAATACTGTACTGTATTCAGTCCTTCCAAGCCCTTCATTGCATCACAAATGACTACTGATAGTACTCATTAACTACCAGTTTCATCGCCCAGTCACCAGTGCAGAGATTGTCAGATGCAATTTTTTTTTTTATGTACTGTACATTATAATAATATAGTGTCATGGTAGGCTAGATTGGGTGTTCCCCAGTGCTCCTCAACACCTTCACGTTTGTTAGGAGATGGCTGAAAAGTTCCATGGGACACTGGTCTCTGAATACTGCCTTTGCCATCTACCACTGGTCTTGTCTTGACAGATATATTTTCTTGCATTATGGAACAGTCTAGTGGTTGCTTAGTGGAGCTTTTTATATTTTTCTAGAAGCTATTATTGTAAAATGTTTAGCAATTGACATAATGAACACAATGTGTAATCATTATTACTGTACAGTACAGTGAAACTTGGTGACCCTTGAGTTTAATTTGAGTTAACTAGCTGGAACTGTTGCCCAAGACAGTATTTCATCAGTCTGCTAAACTACCTCAGCTGTAAACTAAACAATTTCATGTACTGTATGCTTATCACTTTGAATCAGAAAATGTTTTAATTTACATGGGTGATACAGATATTAAATGTGAATTTAAATTAATATATTTTTCTTCTATGAAATAAAAAACGAGCTTAATTTTGTTAATTTTTAGGCTCAGAGTGAGCATCGGGAGACAGAAAAGCAGCGTTTAGAGCTGGATAAAGCACTTGCACGATATAAGGATGATTTAGACAGAGAGGCACGTTATCGACACGTCATGGAGGAAAAATGGCGAGTCATGGCAGAAGAATATGAGAAGAAGGCAAGTTATAACTTCCACTAGTAAATGCTGCAGAATTCAGATTTTTACATTTAGAACATTGCAAGTAGTCATTGCAAATATTAAGCAGTGCATCTAATAGTTTGATCTTGCAGGTGGCAGGTGTAGCCACCATAATAGATGCAGCTACTGGGAAACATAACGAAGTTGTGGCAAGATTCCGAGCCACGGTGACAAACCTACACGATCAGTTGAAAGTGCTGACGGAACGAAGAGAAGCGGTTCAACACGAACTTACCAGGTGATGCGTGAATGGAATTTATGAAAATAAAGTAACTTTACTGATTTCTTTAGTATTTCCAGGTAGTGATGACCAGACCACACACTAGAAATTGAAGAGACGACGACGTTTCGGTCCGTCCTGGACCATTCTCAAGTCGATTGGTCCAGGACGGACCGAAACGTCGTCGTCTCTTCAATTTCTAGTGTGTGGTCTGGTCATCATACTTCAGCCACGTTATTGTGACTCATCGTCTGCATTTCCAGGTAGTATTGGTCGGCAATGAGGCACGGCTATTTAATGTTCTGAGGATTATGTATTATTCAGTATTGTCAGAGATTAACCTTTTTACCATTTTTGGAATTGAATTATACAGATATAATTTTTATGGGTTGTCCGTGTGTTTCGACACAAGGTGCATGTTGGCTAAGTTTAGAAACAAATGTACTGCCAAGACAAGGTTTTAGTGTAAGGATTTCTCTCTACTTCAGAGAAAGGAACTAAGTGTACAATGTGTTTATAAGTAAACTACTAATGACAAGCTGTGTAATTTTGACATTTAAAGAGAGAGAATGATCGAGTTGATTTTTAGAGACATAATATTGCCATGAAAACCACCTTAAAGGTGAAGACCTTCCTTGTAGACCACCTTGAAGGTGAAGACCGAGATGGTATAGAAATGTTGAAGTGCTCATAAGAAAGTAGAGTATTGTATTAGTAAATTGACACCTACAATCGCCATGAAGTAAAGGAATGCCTAAAAGGGGGTCATGTGTAATAATTTGTTGGCATGTTATGTACTTGTAGATAGGTTAAGAAAAAAAAAAAACTGCCTTCAACAGACTTTTTCAAATTAAAACTATCATGAAATTAATGTGATATTTCTATTTGGCAGACTACAGAAGGAAAATGATGATTTAGTTGGCAAACATAGTCAGCATTCTCAACAGCTGCAGAATGAAATAATTAACCTTCCTGACAATATGGAGGTGAGTCGATTCCTGGCATGTATTAGAGCTGGTGTGTGGGGTGTGGTCACACTTTGAATTCTATAGACGACACCTGGCACAAATTGTTACAAATTCTTTCCAATCTTCATTACCTTATACTTGCTGGGATTGAATTGTAGCAGAAATTTGTCCGCTCATAATTAAGGAGCCTAAATCATGTTTTGTTTATTTTTTAAGTATATTTCAATAGATAGCCAAGGTTATTTGCTACTTTTTAGCTTTATTTGAAAGAAATTGGTCAACTCTTGGGTAATTTTTTTTTTTTAGTTTAAAGTTGCACCTACTACCTAAAAGATTTTAGGAATAATGGCGAGTGTCCAACTATTCAATTTCTTATATTGAACCTTAAATGTTCTCCAATTAAATATATAGAAGTTATATAAAAGTATATACTGTGCTATGTGAAGTAAATTACCTAATTAAAATGGATATTGTTGAGAATTTGTGGCTTTGCATCTTGGGTGGGGAATTTTTTTTATTAAACATAGCCAATTTTGTGCTTTTTATTCCTAGATTGTAAAGTTGTCAATGGATTTTATGAAATTTGAAACAGGATACACAACCAGATGGACTTTCAAGACTAATGTAGCATTTTTTTAAAAATGACCTAAAAAAAATTTTGTAATCGGATTCATGATTATTTTATTATTAGGAAACAAGTTAGAAATTTCTAACTTTTGTTATTATATGCACATATATATGCTTGTTCAAATGATTATAAAACCTTGGAATTAAATATTTTCTTGTTTTTTCTTAATGTTTGAGTAACCACCTTGTTTTATATTTCTTTGATATTTTGGTTTAAATTTGAAAGCCATGTTCAGGTTATTAACTTTATGTTGGGCCCCTTAAAGATCTCTACTCTTCTTAACTTTGTGTAGTCGCCTAGCAGTGATATGTATGTGACGACACAAAGTGGTAGCCGTGACGACACAAAGTGGTAGCCGTGACGACACAAAGTGGTAGCCGTGACGACACAAAGTGGTAGCCGTGACGACACAAAGTGGTAGCCGTGACGACACAAAGTGGTAGCCGTGACGACACAAAGTGGTAGCCGTGACGACACAAAGTGGTAGCCGTGACGACACAAAGTGGTAGCCGTGACGACACAAAGTGGTAGCAGTGACGACACAAAGTGGTAGCAGTGACGACACAAAGTGGTAGCTGTGACGACACAAAGTGGTAGCTGTGACGACACAAAGTGGTAGCTGTGACGACACAAAGTGGTAGCTGTGACGACACAAAGTGGTAGCTGTGACGACACAAAGTGGTAGCTGTGACGACACAAAGTGGTAGCTGTGACGACACAAAGTGGTAGCTGTGACGACACAAAGTGGTAGCTGTGACGACACAAAGTGGTAGCTGTGACGACACAAAGTGATAGCTGTGACGACACAAAGTGGTAGCTGTGACGACACAAAGTGGTAGCTGTGACGACACAAAGTGGTAGCTGTGACGACACAAAGTGGTAGCTGTGACGACACAAAGTGGTAGCTGTGACGACACAAAATGGTGTGTCCAAAATGGACACACCATTTTATGTCATTTATATATTAGGAAATGTGGAGGGCTCTGGAGGGGCTCTAGCTCTTGTACTAGGCAATTTTTGCCCTTTAGCTCACTATCATACTTGCTTTTGAAAATGTTAGCAGTAGTAGTATTATTATTGAAATTGAAATAAGTTTATTGAGGTAAAATACACACAAAGGGATGAGGTAGCTCAAGCTATTCTCACCCCGTTCAGTACATCGTGTTAATACACACATCACAAACAATAAACGTATTACCGAACATTCTGAGAGATAAACATATACAGTTCCTCCTTTACACAGTATTATCATTGCACTTCACTGGCATACCACTTGCACTGCACGAGCATTTTTCTATATAAATCTCCGGTTAATTTCCATCAAATTTCAATCCCCATGTCCTCTCCTGTTAACCCTCACTTTGACAAAATGATATCTGTTCATGTTGTACTTCTCTTGTTTAGTAGCTTTTGACAGTGTATCCTCTGGTCTTTTCCTTCACCGAAGTTGAGTTCCTTAACTTATCTTCACAGCTTGCTTCTCCCAGTTCTCCCACTTAAGGCATTGGTCTTTTTGCAAACCTCTGGACTTTATTAGTCATCCTAGGCCTCCTAAGAGGATTCCATTTTTGGACTATTATAGAATGGGTCTGAAGTATTTTGTATGACTCTTGAGTTTCCAAGTTTTCAGGAGGAGCGAGTCTGTCCAGTTTTGGATGTCAATAAGTACTGTATCTCTTACAGATCCTTTATATATATACATTGTTTTCCGTATGGTAATTGCTTCCCTATTAGGCACTGGAGTATGTAGTATTGAATACATATCAAAGTTCCTTGGACAGTTACAGCTTCTCCTATCTTGCTGTGAATTTAGAGAATAACACATTTTAAAATAAAATTTACAATAATAATTTTCAGATACAAATATTCTTGACATATTGTATATTCTTAGGAAAAGAAGCTCTAGAATATGGAACTTTTACTCAAAATGTAATTATGCACATTTTTGTAAGAAATTATTTTTCTGGTCTCAGGAGATGCAGCTTCTCTTGCTGAGGTACCGGGAAGATATCATCGCTGCCAAGGTCTCGAAGGAATATCTAGAGGAGACTCTAAAATCTGAAATTTTGTTCCTTAAAGATCAAGTAAGTTATCGTTACCTTTGTACATTTAATGTACATTATTCATATCCTGAATGTTGCTGCGGGTCGGTGATGCCTTGTACGTCAGGTTGTAGAGCAGACTTGAGCTATCTGTACAAAATTGATGTGAAGGGTGAATATACCTAAATACTAGTAGTAGTAGTAGTAAATTTGTTGATATGTTTGCAAATGGATGGTCAGAGGGCTTGTGATTAATGGTGATTGTGCTAAGAGTCATTAATAGTTTCATGCACTGCTTGAGTGGTGGACTTTGAACCTTTGAACCTTGGGTTGACATGTGTTAATGACATTTTATGTGTACATTATTTTCCTTTTAAAGGATGAAGGAAATGCCTAATTATGAAATGATAAATTTTACAGACAATGACATTTTTGTACAGGTTTTAGCTGAGCAACATGAAAAAAACACCATTGAAGATCGTTTGTCATCAGAAATAGACCAATTAAGGTAGGCCTTCAAAGCATGTTTTCTTTTATAACTATTATTTTTAATTGCCAAATTTATGAGTTGAATACTTGAGCTATGAGAAATATTTTCTTACATTTTAAAATGGGGAATTGTTACGAATGTTAATCTTCAGTCATTTAGAGAGAGGCACAGTAACACCATATAATTTATATGTACTATATTTACAAAGGTCGGGCCCAAGAGCAAATAGATAATAAATCATGTTTTGTTTATTTTTTAAGTATATTTCAATAGATAGCCAAGGTTATTTGCTACTTTTTAGCTTTATTTGAAAGAAATTGGTCAACTCTTGGGTAATTTTTTTTTTAGTTTAAAGTTGCACCTACTACCTAAAAGATTTTAGGAATAATGACGAGTGTCCAACTATTCAATTTTTTATATTGAACCTTAAATGTTCTCCAATTAAATATATAGAAGTTATATAAAAGTATATACTGTGCTATATGAAGTAAATTACCTAATTAAAATAGATATTGTTGAGAATTTGTGGCTTTGCATCTTGGGTGGGGAATTTTTTTTATTAAACATAGCCAATTTTGTGCTTTTTATTCCTAGATTGTAAAGTTGTCAATGGATTTTATGAAATTTGAAATAGGATACACAACCAGATGGACTTTCAAGACTAATGTAGCATTTTTTTAAAAATGACATAAAAAAATTTTTTTTAATCGGATTCATGATTATTTTATTATTAGGAAACAAGTTAGAAATTTCTAACTTTTGTTATTATATGCACATATATATGCTTGTTCAAATGATTGTAAAACCTTGGAATTAAATATTTTCTTGTTTTTTCTTAATGTTTGAGTAACCACCTTGTTTTATATTTCTTTGATATTTTGGTTTAAATTTGAAAGCCTTGTTCAGGTTATTAACTTTATGTTGGGCCCCTTAAAGATCTCTACTCTTCTTAACTTTGTGTAGTCGCCTAGCAGTGATATGTGTGTGACGACACAAAGTGGTAGCCGTGACGACACAAAGTGGTAGCCGTGACGACACAAAGTGGTAGCCGTGACGACACAAAGTGGTAGCCGTGACGACACAAAGTGGTAGCTGTGACGACACAAAGTGGTAGCTGTGACGACACAAAGTGGTAGCTGTGACGACACAAAGTGGTAGCTGTGATGACACAAAGTGGTAGCAGCGACGACACAAAGTGGTAGCAGCGACGACACAAAGTGGTAGCAGCGACGACACAAAATGGTGTGTCCAAAATGGACACACCATTTTATGTCATTTATATATTAGGAAATGTGGAGGGCTCTGGAGGGACTCTAGCTCTTGTACTAGGCAATTTTTGCCCTTTAGCTCACTATCATACTTGCTTTTGAAAATGTTAGCAGTAGTATTATTATTGAAATTGAAATAAGTTTATTGAGGTAAAATACACACAAAGGGATGAGGTAGCTCAAGCTATTCTCACCCCGTTCAGTACATCGTGTTAATACACACATCACAAACAATAAACGTATTACCGAACATTCTGAGAGATAAACATATACAGTTCCTCCTTTACACAGTATTATCATTGCACTTCACTGGCGTACCACTTGCACTGCACGAGCATTTTTCTATATAAATCTCCGGTTAATTTCCATCAAATTTCAATCTCCATGTCCTCTCCTGTTAACCCTCACTTTGACAAAATGATATCTGTTCATGTTGTACTTCTCTTGTTTAGTAGCTTTTGACAGTGTATCCTCTGGTCTTTTCCTTCACCGAAGTTGAGTTCCTTAACTTATCTTCACAGCTTGCTTCTCCCAGTTCTCCCACTTCAGGCACCAGTCTTTTGCAAACCTCTGGACTTTATTAGTCATCCTAGGCCTCCTAAGAGGATTCCATTTTTGGACTATTATAGAATGGGTCTGAAGTATTTTGTATGACTCTTGAGTTTCCAAGTTTTCAGGAGGAGCGAGTCTGTCCAGTTTTGGATGTCAATAAGTACTGTATCTCTTACAGATCCTTCATATATATACATTGTTTTCCGTATGGTAATTGCTTCCCTATTAGGCACTGGAGTATGTAGTATTGAATACATATCAAAGTTCCTTGGACAGTTACAGCTTCTCCTATCTTGCTGTGAATTTAGAGAATAACACATTTTAAAATAAAATTTACAATAATAATTTTCAGATACAAATATTCTTGACATATTGTATATTCTTAGGAAAAGAAGCTCTAGAATATGGAACTTTTACTCAAAATGTAATTATGCACATTTTTGTAAGAAATTATTTTTCTGGTCTCAGGAGATGCAGCTTCTCTTGCTGAGGTACCGGGAAGATATCATCGCTGCCAAGGTCTCGAAGGAATATCTAGAGGAGACTCTAAAATCTGAAATTTTGTTCCTTAAAGATCAAGTAAGTTATCGTTACCTTTGTACATTTAATGTACATTATTCATATCCTGAATGTTGCTGCGGGTTGGTGATGCCTTGTACGTCAGGTTGTAGAGCAGACTTGAGCTATCTGTACAAAATTGATGTGAAGGGTGAATATACCTAAATACTAGTAGTAGTAGTAGTAAATTTGTTGATATGTTTGCAAATGGATGGTCAGAGGGCTTATGATTAATGGTGATTGTGCTAGGAGTCATTAATAGTTTCATGCACTGCTTGAGTGGTGGACTTTGAACCTTTGAACCTTGGGTTGACATGTGTTAATGACATTTTATGTGTACATTATTTTCCTTTTAAAGGATGAAGAAAATGCCTAATTATGAAATGATAAATTTTACAGACAATGACATTTTTGTACAGGTTTTAGCTGAGCAACATGAAAAAAACACCATTGAAGATCGTTTGTCATCAGAAATAGACCAATTAAGGTAGGCCTTCAAAGCATGTTTTCTTTTATAACTATTATTTTTAATTGCCAAATTTATGAGTTGAATACTTGAGCTATGAGAAATATTTTCTTACATTTTAAAATGGGGAATTGTTACGAATGTTAATCTTCAGTCATTTAGAGAGAGGCACAGTAACACCATATAATTTATATGTACTATATTTACAAAGGTCGGGCCCAAGAGCAAATAGATAACAGACTTTTTGTCAGTTATGAATGAATACCTACCCTAAGTTCTTTTTGGTTCTCAAGAGATGGCACAGTTGTAGAAGTGTTAGAGATGAGCTGCTAGGTACGCTGGAAGCTGTGGGCTGAACTGGTCACGTCAAGTAGTCACTATTCACACAATGTGACTGGAGGGGGGGGGGGAGATGTAATCAGTGTGATTACTGTGTAGCACTATGCGTTTCTGTTCTCGTATTGGCTTCCTTGGTGATATTTAGCGCCTTCTGATTATTCCGCACGTTTGGTGGTGCTACATAGCCTTCCCGGTTTGGTGCCTTCTGATAATTACTTACTTACTGTGTAGCACTATTAAATAATAAATATAAAGTATTATACCCCACATACCTGTGGGTATGTGGGATATGATACCTGTGAATTTAGTATAAAACACTTGCTAGAAGAAAAAACTAGGATGGCATTTGGATATAAGGAGGCATGGTAACATTGACAGAGGGACAGATTGATGAAACAGACCACGGTGTTGAAGTACTGAAGACTTGTGACATGTGTTATGGGAAGCTGTTACCAGTACAAGTGATATGTAAATATATACACTGAAATTGTGATTGTACTGGGATATGAGGACCTGCAGTGTGCTGGGAATACCTCACAGCATCACCAAGGAATTGTGATTGTACTGGGATATGAGGACCTGCAGTGTGCTGGGAATACCTCACAGCATCACCAAGGAATGCTTATCATTTCCTCAAAGCTCCCTTTTGTCTCCAACAGTTTAGGACACCATTGTTTTTCACATAATGGAATGATGTGTATTGGAATACGTATAAAGAAAATTAAATACACATGTTAGACTAGCCAAAATGTATCCATCTGGTTGCATATCTTGAATGCTGATGTATTCTAAAAGTTTACTTTTAGTTTTCTCAATTAGTTGAGCCTTTGCAAACTGAAGTAGTATATAGTAGTGTGTGACTACATTTTGTATCGTTGTTTCAGGAACTGTTTGCTACGGGGTTTGGCCATAAGAAGAATGTGTTCTGTTCTGTTGTAAATGAGAACTGTTGTGTGAATAGTTGTGATGTTATTTTATGTAATGTACATATTGTATCCAATGTTGGAAATTATTTTAATATTAATGTAAGGTATTGTCTTCTGTTGTAGGCCAAGATAGTATGACAAATATTATTGTTCATTATTGTTCTTAAGCAAGCTTTATCTAACCTGTCTTATGTATTTGGTATCTGTAATACAGTATACCGTATTTGCCGGCGTATAAGATGCTTTATTTTTTTTTAAATGTATCATAATATTGCCCTGCACCTAATGCAGCAGTATTACGTACGTGAGACCGAGCGCCGCAGGCTAGTGAGCCAGACGAGCATACTGGGCAAGTTCACTAGGCACAAAAATCGTTGCTAATAATAAAATAATGAAAACGAGCTAAATTATTAAAGTAAATTGTTACTAATACTGTTATTAAACCCTCTCTGGGTATGATGGAGGGATGAATGGGTAACTGGCAGGCAGGAGTGAGGGCGGGCAGGGGGGCTGGCTGGCTGGCTGGGTGGTGGGCGGGCAGGGGGGACTGGATGGCTGGCTGGCTGGTGGGCGGGCAGGGGGGACTGGATGGCTGGCTGACTGGTGGGCGGGCGGGCAGGGGGACTGGCTGGTGGGCGGGCAGGGGGACTGGCTGGTGGGCGGGCAGGGGGACTGGCTGGTGGGCGGGCAGGGGGACTGGCTGGTGGGCGGGTAGGGGGACTGACTGGCGGGCAGGGGGGGACTTGCTGGTGGGCGGACAAGGGGACTGGCTGACTGGCGGGCAGGGTGGTTGGGTGGGCGGGCTCTTGGTTTAGGAGGGCGGACTTTTAAGAGGAGCAGTTGAGTGGGTTTGGGCTCACTGGCTATTTCGGTGGACGGTGGGTGGCTTCGGGCAGACATTGGGTTCGGACAGGTGATCTTATCAGGAGGGCTTTGGGCTGGTTCGGGCGGGCGGGCTTTGGGTTGATTTGGGCATGCAGGATTTGGGTTGGTTCGGGCTGGTATGGGGAGGAGGGGCTGGGTTTGACTGGCAGGGGGTGGCAGGCAGACTAGCTGTGGTCACGCCTGATCCCCCCCTCGGCTTCCCCCATCCCCACACCGGACCCTCCCATAATATTTCCCACCCCTCCAACTGTGTCTAGACGATCGGTACAGGATTAATACAGGGATTAATGAGGTTCAAATTGTCAGCTTCCTACCAGATGGTGGCCTTGGTGTTCTATAAACAAGACTCCTGTTTACATACTGTGACTGATTGCTGCCACAATTGTGAATAACTGCCTTTTACTGGTTTTGACTGCGACTTGTGCCTGAATGCTTGACTGACTGACTGTGACTTGTGCCTGAATGCTTGACTGACTGACTGTGACTTGTGCCTGAATGCTTGACTGACTGACTGTGACTTGACCAGTTAGCAGCAGCCATGGTCGTGACTGTAACTAGCTCTGACTTCTTGCTGCATAACAGGAGCAGTGAAATCTGTGAAGGGAAAATGGTGTACCACCACCGGGTGTGCCGCCCTGGTGGCCAGTCAAGGTAACAAAACATGTCATCCAGAAATACAAGTTTCTCATCCTGTATAACAGTTGTTTTGCCCAAAATATAAAAAACTATACAGCTGATCTTAGAGGAGGTAAGAGTTGGGATACAAAAACCACTTTAAAATACAATAAATGCATGGTGAAATGGACTAAAATAGTTTTTTCCACAAAATATCCTTGTAAAATTGGGGGGGGTCTTATGTGAGGGTGCATCTTTTATGCTGGCAAATACAGATAGAGTATCTAATCTATAATAGATAGATTAGATAGGTAGATAATTATCTTTTGCCTGATGAAAACAATTATGTAGACAGCTGTACATTTATGAGAAGATGTCTAAATTTCTAATTTTCTTTTATCGTTAGAGAGAAAGTTGGGTTACTGGAGAGTTTAGAAAGTCAAATGAATATGGAGCGGAGAAGCAGAGTTGAGAGTGATGCTCAATTGAAAGAGATGGAGAGCAGACAATCTGAGGCCCAACTCAAGAATCAGCAGATTATATCTGCCCTCAAAACACAAGTGGCAGAGCAGACACAGGCCAGGGTTTGTTAATCATGCACGACACTTTTAGATTGTCTCCAACACTTCAGTTATGTACTTTGCTATAATTGTAGTTACAACAATTGTCTTCGTACAAATTCTTGAGAAAAGAAAACATTTTTTAAGTTCGTATTTATCATCGTTAATAAATTGGTACTGTCTATAAAAGTTATTGACAATTATTTTTTGTCTTCCTGAATCTTTACATCATGTATATTCTTAGTCCATTGTTTTTATCATTAAACTTTGAAATTCAAATACAGAAAATTCTATCGTAACTATTTCATGAATTGATATTGGTTGTTGACAATGAAAAGGCCGATAACAAGACTAAAAGCTTACTAACTACTGCACCTTCAAATACATGGAAGATGTAACAGTTTGGATTTTATGACAAGAATGTTAGGGAAGATTTATATATTGATGAAATGCTTAAAATAGAAAAATCCGTTCTGTAGGCTCGATTGGAGGCAGAAGTAGTAGAGCTCCGTGGCAGGGTGTCAACACTACAGCACGACCTGGATACGTCTGAGGCAGTACAGCGGGATTTTGTGAGGTTATCACAATCCTTGCAGGTTCAGCTCGAGAAGATAAGACAACAAGAGAAAGAGGTACGTGTGCTTTCTGTGAAGTATTTTTGTTTAATTCTACTGAGCTAGGAAAAGTAATAGAGGTTTGTGACCTGAACCTCAAAAATAGTAGTGGTTAGGTCAGTAACCAAATAAATAAGTACTATAAAGCTTTTCCATGTGAGGTTCCTGCCATATGATATGTGTAATAACAAAAAACTTATAACTGTAATGGGTTGCTCGTTAACCAATCTGGCTGGTTAAAAACCTGGTTAAAAACCAAAACCTAAATTTCGGTGCCATAACATAAGGCTTCTTGTAGGCATGTTGCAAGCCGTGGGTTTCAAAGATATGCTTTACTCCTTGTTCTGTTAACTCCCATATAAATAGACAATTTAACAATCTTTTAAAATGTGTGTTTTTAACCATAAAAGAAGAAATGTAGGATATTCTTCAGTAAGAGTATTAAAAAGTTCTCATTTTATACCAATTACTTTGCACTGCTATTTTCCTTACATTGACACACAGAGGAATATTTTATATAGTGTTAAATTTCTTCTTTACCTAATGTTTGCACTTGAAACATTTCCTTAATTATGAAGAGTAAGACTAATTACTGTAGTAAAGTTGGGTAGGTTCTGGTTTTGAGCAAGCCGGATTGTAATACTCGGGCTCGTGCATACATTAATGGTGTAGTAATCATTTGTGAAACCTGACAAATTAGAATGTGGACTTGTATAGTGATCATTAATCTGACATTAACATTTTTTTTAGGTACGATGGCAGCACGAAGAGGACCAGGAAGAGTGCAATAGTTGTAAACAGAGATTTTCTGCTGTTGGGCGGAGAAAGGTAAGATTCCAAGGGTTATATACTAATGCTTTCTCCTTTTCCCTACATCACATCTCTGGGAAGTGTTCAGCATTCATTTTGAGTTTTACACTTAAATCACTTGAAAAGATGAAACAAATATAATGGAATATATCTAATGAAGTAACATAATAATGAACTGGCAGTTTAGTTTAGTATAGGAACATAGCATATCAAAATTGCTTTGCTTAGTTTGAGATATACTAAAAGATTGGGCAGCTTACATCTGTGTGAACCTAAAGCAGGCATTTGATAAAGCACCTCTATGAGCTTGTTCTGAAAGTTGAAAAATGTTAACTGTACAGTAATGGAAAACCTACTAGAATGACAAATTTTGTAAAGAGCCGAAAGAGGAGTGGAGGCGATTAGACAATAAATGGGACTCGAGGACTGTTACCAGTGTGGTTCATGTGTCTTTGTGCATGCCCTGGCAACGTTCATAGTATACATGAAACCTAACTGCAGAGATACAGATCTACATGAAAATATAGATAATGTTAAGAAAATGACCTAAAGGACTGCCACTCTAAAACAACTTTGACAAAATAGAAGCATGGTGGTTTCAGCAACATGTTTGATGGCATCAGATTTAGATAAAGGCCAGTACAAGTTGTTTTAGTGTCTAATCTAGTTGTTTTAGTTGGGATATGATTAAAAATTCATTATATTCCAGACTCAATTTAGATTGTGATCAATTACATTTGTACAAAGTTTTTATATTTAATATTTTTATAACTTTTTCAGCATCATTGCCGTCACTGTGGGAAAATCTTCTGCAATGAGTGTGTAAGCAAAACTGTTCAGAGCGGACCTCATAACCGTACATCTAGAGTGTGCGATGTCTGCCACACACTTCTGGTGCAAGATGCCACTCCATACTTCAGTTCTGAGCCACCACATTCTCCCGACTGACCTGACAGACCCTCGGTTGCTTCTCCACACTGATCAGATACAGTAGACCGATGTCGCTCGTACCACTGACTTCCCTGTGCTATATATACCTGCCAATCCACATTATCATAATGCCAGACCACACACTACTATCCTCTTCGTTTGACAACTGTAATTGTTGAATATCAATGTGCCATATAGGTGAGGTGTAAGATTCTTAATTTGTCAACTTCTGCTTCTGAACTCTTATACATTTCGGATATATCTTTTTAAATTTGGATTTTTCTAATTTATGCTTTTAATAATTTGTGTAATGAATAAGTGCACTGATGTAAGTCTGCACTATTATTTGACCTCAACCTAATAATTATAAAAGCATGTGTTTGTACAACATGTTTTACATTGGCATTTGGATTAAGTAAACCTTAATTACTTTGCATAGGGTCCTTGTCATTAAATCTAGATGGAAGTTTACTGGATTAACAATGCTTAAGATGTCTGCTCTGTTTGCAGATGTTGGCTTGAGTCTCTCCATCTGTATACATTATATAACTTAGTCTAAACTTAAGCCATCCACGTGAGAACTTTTTCTGCGTACCTAGTCTCCTCTCTGCCTTATAAAATATTAATGCCTTTTTACTAAACATTCCCTTAAAACAAGAGTGGGAAACTTCGAGCAAAGGTTACCCCTCATAAATTATGCAAGCATCTTAGGATGAACCTCATTTATTTCATCTAATTTGGACTAGTGGTCATTCCAGTGAAGATTGGCTGCCAGAACTTCACTTCAGAATGTACATGGACTAGACCATTGTATAAAATTCAGCAAACTGATCAGAAAACATCGCTCTGTGTGCCTATCATGTTGATAGATGAATGGTGATCTTCAGAAGATAACACAGTTTCATGCCAGGTTGTCTCCCTGCGTGATGGTGCGATCAAAGTGTACAAAGTGTATATTTTCCCAGTGTAGCGTTTTGGGGAGTGCAATGGTTGTCTTATTGTAATAGTTTCCCCATAATAATGACGACATTCTAATGGCAAGTCTCATTGTATATTTTATGCTAAATATTTACATTTATAATGTGGAAAGTTTTATGTGGCTATTAACGGCTTCAGTTTACCAAATTGCATATTATCGGTTCGTGATGTCTTGTATAGTTTCAGGAAGATTATGAACAAATAATGTGACGTTTGACATCTCTGGTAATTAAAGAAAATGTGTTGTGTATGAAAGATTTATTGTATTCAGTGTGCAAGGCTGTTGATGACAGATCTCTTTATGGAAGCATACGTTTTCTCCAATTTACTTATATATTCCCAATTTCTTGCAGCTGTTGGTGCTGTAGATGAAATCAGATACCAAATCAATTTATTTAATGTTTTTTTGACATATTGGTAACCTATTTTTGAGAATCTACTTAAGTTTTGCAAATGTGATGCATATACAAAATATTTTTGACTATATATATTTAGCACACACATTGACAGTCAATTTATCCCCTTCTATATTTTACCCCAATGGTAACTAATGTCAATAACAAAGCATTATAAAAAAGAAAATAAGGGGATGATAGGATGCAAGTTTTAAGACGGGAGAGGGATCTCTTGGTCTGTACATTGTGAATGATCATTGGGCACAAATTGAAAATGAACTCTGTACAAGGTGAACAGAAGGTTCACGAATATGCTAGTTTAGGAGGACAGTCTGATAACACATTGATTTTAAGAGGCATTAAGTTTCTTGTAAAATGAGTAGGGGAAAGGTCAAGCTGACCTTTCAGAGAATGGCAATACAGTAATCCAAATAAAGTGCATATAACAAATGATATTGATATTATATTATAGACTTAATAGATAGTTTCCTGGAAAAATTTATCATTCCATTGTACATACAACAGTGGATTTTTATAAATTTTGATTAAAACCTTTTAATTGTTTTTTTATGAATTTGAAAAGTTTAAGTGATGAAGATAATTTTAATAAAAGATTTTAAATTTTGCCGCAGTATTATCATTTATAAATAGGATTTATAATTGTTATATAATTGTTTGTTGAAAACGTGTGTGTAAAGATTAATATGTTCAGTAATAAATACTGTCAAGAATCCTCAAAAATACGCTGTTTTGATCCTAGAAGCATCTTTCCAAACTGACACATTCCAGCCATGGGTATTGCATTGGCACATCCCTTAAACACTGCTCCAGCTGCAACCATACTGAACTATATATTTCATCATTTCGATACACTGTAGGCACTGCCAGTGCACAGTGTATGGGTACAGTATATTCTATGGGCACTGCTTTATTACAGCAGTGAGATTCCAATGAGTTGAATTTGTTAATGAGATCACAACTTGGGTTTCTAAAAATGTCAAATAAATGACAGCATTAGCAGTCATTCTCCTGCACGATGTTGTAACTGGAAACTGGGAACTCGCTGTCTGAGGATATTAAAATATACTTGAGGCCTAAGGTTATTCTGTCCTGCAGATTAATACTGTACGTTCATTTGACCCTCGTGGATTGTCATCATCATCGGCCCCTTCAAGTAGTCAAGATCACTTGATGGTAGGACCCATCCGTTTTCTGTAATTCTTACCTGTGCTAGTTGTTCCATTCAGTTGTACAACGCCGCTGCAATAGCTGTTAAAAATTTGGACATGGTTCCTCAAGGTGCAATAACAAGATATCCCTTTGACCCCTTTGGTAGTGGCACCTGACTTTACGAGGAGAGGTGGTTGTTCTCCCCAAGCTTCGTGCATTAATTACAGTGAGGCTACCCTGCCTTCTTGTGCACGCATGTGCACAAGAAAGAAATTTGAACGTGTCATCCTCGCCTTAAAACATTGCGATTGTATATCAAACCATGAGGCAAGATGCCAGGTCTGCGCTCTACCAGAGATGACACAAGCAACCACCATACACAGCATCAGGGACCACAGGTGACAACCACCGTACACAGCATCAGGGACCACAGGTGACACAAGCCACTACCATACACTGCATTAGGGACCACAGGTGACATTCATTATTCACAAACACTTTATGTAGGTCAGTGTATGTATTATGTATGTAGGTTAGATTAGCACTTTATAAGCACTCCAATCACCTTTTGTGGCTAATTGTTCAATAACTCATTGAACTATATGTTTAACAGATCTCTTGCCCTGATAACGGAGGACGGAAGAAAAGGTCTTCATCTATGATGTCTGTGGTAGAAACAACAACTCACAAGGGGGCCTCATGGCTGAATGGACAGCACTCTGGGATCGTATTCCTAAGGAATCTGGTTTGATTCCCGATCGAGACAGAAACAAATAGGCAGAATTTTTCACCTGATGCAGCTGTTCACCTAGCTGTAAATATGTACCTGGTATACAGCTGCTTCCTGGGGATGTGTGCGTGTGTAACAAAATATATGCAGTAGACATAGAGGATAATAGATTGGTTAGAAGGGCTAATAGCTCGATTCTGCAGGCACAAATAGTAAATAGAGCTTGAACAATAGCATTTTTCACCTGATGCAGCTGTTCACCTAGCTGTAAATATGTACCTGGTATACAGCTGTTTCCTGGGGATGTGTGCGTGTGTAACAAAATATATGCAGTAGACATAGAGGATAATAGATTGGTTAGAAGGGCTAATAGCTCGATTCTGCAGGCACAAATAGTAAATAGAGCTTGAACAATAGCATTTTTCACCTGATGCAGCTGTTCACCTACCTGCAAATATGTACCTGGTATACAGCTGTTTCCTGGGGATGTGTGCGTGTGTAACAAAATATATGCAGTAGACATAGAGGATAATAGATTGGTTAGAAGGGGTAATAGCTCGATTCTGCAGGCACAAATAGTAAATAGAGCTTGAACAACAAATACAGGAACTTGGACTTAAACTAGGTAACACAACGCTAAAGTGGGGCTCTAGAGCTAAATCTTGTTCCACACAAACTCAAGAAGGTAGGCACACCCTGTATCTTATTGTTCCATACACTGTACCACAGTGTACCTCACTGTACCCCGGTGTACCTCACACTGTACCCCGGTGTACCTCCCTGTACCACAGTGTACCTCACTGTACCACAGTGTACCTCGCTGTACCAGTGTACCTCACTGTACCCCGGTGTACCTCCCTGTACCACTGTACCTCACACTGTACCTCCCTGTACCACAGTGTACCTCACTGTACCACAGTGTACCTCGCTGTAACAGTGTACCTCACTGTACCAGTGTACCTCACTGTACCCCGGTGTACCTCCCTGTACCACAGTGTACCTCACTGTACCACAGTGTACCTCGCTGTAACAGTGTACCTCACTGTACCAGTGTACCTCACTGTACCCCGGTGTACCTCCCTGTACCACAGTACCTCACACTGTACCCCAGTGTACCTCCATGTACCAGTATACCCCACACTGTACCAGTGTACACCACACTGTACCAGTGTACACCACACTGTACCAGTGTACCTCACACTGTACCAGTGTACACCACACTGTACCAGTGTACACCACACTGTACCAGTGTACACCACACTGTACCAGTGTACCTCACACTGTACCAGTGTACACCACACTGTACCAGTGTACCCCACACTGTACCAGTGTACCCCACACTGTACCAGTGTACCCCACACTGTACCAGTGTACACCACACTGTACCAGTGTACCTCACACTGTACCAGTGTACACCACACTGTACCAGTGTACACCACACTGTACCAGTGTACACCACACTGTACCAGTGTACCTCACACTGTACCAGTGTACACCACACTGTACCAGTGTACCCCACACTGTACCAGTGTACCCCACACTGTACCAGTGTACCCCACACTGTACCAGTGTACACCACACTGTACCAGTGTACCTCACTGTACCAGTGTACACCACACTGTACCAGTGTACCCCACACTGTACCAGTGTACACCACACTGTACCAGTGTACACCACACTGTACCAGTGTACACCACACTGTACCAGTGTACCTCACACTGTACCAGTGTACACCACACTGTACCAGTGTATACCACACTGTACCAGTGTACCCCACACTGTACCAGTGTACCCCACACTGTACCAGTGTACCTCACACTGTACCAGTGTACCACACACTGTACCAGTGTACACCACACTGTACCAGTGTACCCCACACTGTACCAGTGTACCCCACACTGTACCAGTGTATACCACACTGTACCAGTGTACCCCACACTGTACCAGTGTACCCCACACTGTACCAGTGTATACCACACTGTACCAGTGTACCCCACACTGTACCAGTGTACCCCACACTGTACCAGTGTACCCCACACTGTACCAGTGTACCCCACACTGTACCAGTGTATACCACACTGTACCAGTGTACCCCACACTGTACCAGTGTACCCCACACTGTACCAGTGTACCCCACACTGTACCAGTGTACACCACACTGTGCCAGTGTATACCACACTGTACCAGTGTGCCCCACACTGTACCAGTGTACCCCACACTGTACCAGTGTACCCCACACTGTACCAGTGTACCCCACACTGTACCAGTGTACACCACACTGTGCCAGTGTATACCACACTGTACCAGTGTGCCCCACACTGTACCAGTGTACCCCACACTGTACCAGTGTACCCCACACTGTACCAGTGTACCCCACACTACTAGTGTGCCCCACTGTACCAGTGTACCCCACACTGTACCAGTGTATCCCACACTGTACCAGTGTATCCCACACTGTACCAGTGTACCCCATACTGTACCAGTGTACCCCACACTGTACCAGTGTACACCACACTGTACCAGTGTATCCCACACTGTACCAGTGTACCCCATACTGTACCAGTGTACCCCACACTGTACCAGTGTACACCACACTGTACCAGTGTACCCCACACTGTACCAGTGTACCCCATACTGTACCAGTGTACCCCACACTGTACCAGTGTACCCCACACTGTACCAGTGTACCCCATACTGTACCAGTGTACCCCACACTGTACCAGTGTACCCCACACTGTACCAGTGTACACCACACTGTACCAGTGTACCCCATACTGTACCAGTGTACCCCACACTGTACCAGTGTATCCCACACTGTACCAGTGTACCCCACACTGTACCAGTGTATCCCACACTGTACCAGTGTACCCCATACTGTACCAGTGTACCCCACACTGTACCAGTGTATCCCACACTGTACCAGTGTATCCCACACTGTACCAGTGTACCCCATACTGTACCAGTGTACCCCACACTGTACCAGTGTACACCACACTGTACCAGTGTATACCACACTGTACCAGTGTATACCACACTGTACCAGTGTATCCCACACTGTACCAGTGTATACCACACTGTACCAGTGTATACCACACTGTACCAGTGTACCCCACACTGTACCAGTATACCCCACACTGTACCAGTGTACCACACACTGTACCAGTGTACACCACACTGTACCAGTGTACACCACACTGTACCAGTGTATACCACACTGTACCAGTGTATACCACACTGTACCAGTGTATCCCACACTGTACCAGTGTACCCCATACTGTACCAGTGTACCCCACACTGTACCAGTGTATCCCACACTGTACCAGTGTACCCCATACTGTACCAGTGTACCTCACACTGTACCAGTGCACCCCCACACTGTACCAGTACTCACCTAATTGTGCTTGCGGGGGTTGAGCTTTGGCTCTTTGGTCCCGCCTCTCAACTGTCAATCAACAGGTGTACAGATTCCTGAGCCTACTGGGCTCTATCATATCTACATTTGAAACTGTGTATGGAGTCAGCCTCCACCACATCACTTCCTAGTGCATTCCATTTATTAACTACTCTGACACTGAAAAAATTCTTTCTAACGTCTCTGTGGCTCATCTAGGTACTTAGTTTCCACCTGTGTCCCCTTGTTCGTGTCCCACCCGTGCTGAAGAGTTTGTCTTTGTCCACCCTGTCAATTCCCCTGAGAATGTTGTAGGTGGTTATCATGTCTCCCCTTACTCTTCTGTTTTCCAGGGATGTGAGGTTCAGCTCCTTTAGCTTTTCCTCGTAGCTCAATCCTCTCAGTTCTGGGACGAGCCTGGTGGCATACCGCTGAATCTTCTCTAACTTTGTCTTGTGTTTAACTAGGTATGGACTGTGGGGTGCAGTGGGGTACACTGGGGTACCAGTGTACCCCACACTGTATCAGTGTACCTCACACTGTACCAGTGTACCTCACACTGTACCAGTGTACCTCACACTGTACCAGTGTACCCCACACACACAGTGTACCCGGCCGTAAACTCACTCACCTTGGGAGAAGGAGACTTGATCAAGCAACAAGTAGTGATCCACCTCCACAATAACGGTAATCAACTTGTCATCTTAATATTGACGTCTACTTGTCCAAACTAGCATCAACTACCATTTATTTGGGTGATAATTATCGTGGAATTATTTGCCATGATGACACTTTTGGCCTTAAATAGAAATGAACAAGTTGGTGGGGACCCGAAGTGAAAGTTTTAGGCTACAACCTCTCATTTCAGCACCTTCTAGGGAGCCATTTTCTAAACCGAATTAGTCTTTCGGTTTGAGTTAGAGTAATGGTGAGTGATTAGTGAGGCGTAGGTGGCTATGACGATATAGTGACCATGAGTATATATGAGGTATAGGTGCTGGGGCCTCGATGACGTATTAGTGACGTCACCAAGTGTGGTTTAGGAGGGAGTGTGAGGCGGGAGCCGCAGTCAGTGTGATCTTAGCCGTGCTCGAGGACGGACGCTCGCCGTCTCTCTCTCTCTACACACTACCATCCCCGCCACCTGTCTTACTGGGCTGGCACTCCCCCGAGGGACTATAAGGCTGCTGGGGACGACGCTGGCACAGGTGAGAGGCGGGGCTGGGGAGCTGAGGCACGACTGGGCCTTACTTAGCTGACTTGGAGGGGGGGGGGCCGACCCACCTGTTGACTAGGATGGTGAGTCCCCCCCCCAGGCCGCTCCTGTGGCGGATGGTGAGCTCATTATCAACTCACCCTCCCATGAAAGGCATGTTGTTGCTGTGATGGTGACTTTGGTGGTGCTGTGATAGTGACTAGTGATACTATTGCTGTGATGGTGATTGGTAATGGTGTTGTGATAGTGGTAATAATAAGAGGGTTGACAGGCAGGGAACTCCGGTCAACTGGGGGAAGATGACCGCCAACTGTCTCAAGTGGAGTGCCCGCGGTCAACCATCTCGCCTCTTCTCCATATTATAATACATAAATCATTTATATATATACACACACAGAGATCACAATAACCACGGGAGACATCTCCCGTCACGCAGGGTACAGTCGCACCTCCACAGATCTCCAGTATCAGCTCTGGATACTGGTAATGGCTCGAAAGGGCCACCACTTACGGGCTATTCATGCCCGTGTCACCTCTTGGAAGGCTTAATCTTTATCAATCATCATCACAATAGCGTGATGCATCAAATGAACAAATCCACAAGGGCCGTGATGAGGAAGTTGTATTGAAGTAAGGGGCGAAGAGGTAGAACAGGTACGGGCTATTCATGCCCGTGCCACCTTTTGGAAGGCTTAATCTTCATCAATCGCAGAACAGGTTATTGACAGAGCCCGGGTGCACGGGGGAATTGTGTAAAACCCCACACTAGAAGGTGAAGGGACGACGACGACGTTTCAGTCCGTCCTGGACCATTCTCAAGTCGATTGATCCATTCAATCGATCCATCTCAAGTCGATTGAACCAATCAATCCATCACGGGGTGAGAATAGCTTGAGCTACCTCATCCCTTTGTGTGTATTTTACCTCAATAAACTTATTTCAATTTCAATCCATCAAGTCAACTGGACCAATCGACTTGAGAATGGTCCAGGACGGACTGAAACGTCGTCGTCCCTTCACCTTCTAGTGTGTGGTCTGGTCAACATACTTCAGCCACGTTATTGTGACTCATCGCCTGCATGTGTAAAACCCTAATTTGTGTCTCGGAAGGGAAGGGAATTGTCGAGAAATCGTTGATTGATTGATGAAGATTAAGCCACCCAAAAGGTGGCACGGGCATGAATAGCCCGTAAGTGGTGGCCCTTTTGAGCCATCACCAGTATCAAGAGCTGATACTGGAGATCTGTGGAGGTGCGGTTGCACTTTCGTGACGGGAGATGTCGCCCGTGGGGAAGGCGCCAAGCCATTACGACTATATACCTCTGGGAAAGGGTCAGAAGAAGGATTTGGGATCTAGGTTATCCTGAGGTTATCTTGAGATGATTACATGTTTGTTACATGGACCGCGGCCCGGTCCTCGACCAGGCCTCCACACCCAGGAAGCAGCCCGTGACAGCTGACTAACACCCAGATACCTATTTTACTGCTAGGTAACAGGGGCATAGAGTGAAAGAAACTCTGCCCATTGTTTCTCGCCGGCGCCCGGGATCGAACCCGGGACCACAGGATCACAGTCCAGCGTGCTGTCCGCTCGGCCGACCGGCTCCCCGGTGAATAGGATTTTTAGATTGATATCTGGAAGCTTTAGCAATAAAACATGTAATGCTATTTCTCAGGTCATCTTGCCCTCATAGTCCCAGTTAGATTACGATAGTGATTATCATATTCTTATGATAGTAACATTGTGTGTGGGGGAGAAGGCAGCCCAAGTGTGTAGTTATGGCTGGAGCGGAAAGTGGGGCGGTGAGAGGTGGTGTAGGGAGACGTGTGTAGATTGGTAGATTGTACACTTTGAGAGACGAAGTGTACAGGTGTGGGCAAGTGGTGAGAGACACAGTATACAGGTGTGGGCGGGTAGTAAGAGACACAGTATACAGGTGTGGGCGGGATAGGGCAGCGGCCTCGCCCACAGTATAGACCAAGAGCGGCCCACACGACGCCCACGCCCACAGTATAGACCGAGAGCGGCCCACGCGACGCTCACTGCTACACTTCCTGGTCCGCGTTGCGCTCCTTCGTCTGGTAATGTGTAAACATTTTATTTCCCCGAGGAGGAATATAATTATACAAGTGCTTCTCAAGAACTTGCCTCGAAGGTCAGCCTCCAGTAAGGGCTAAACTAACTAACGATGCTTTCTCTAATTCCTTTTTCCAGCGTGTCAACCCAAATCCTTATCCTGACCCCTTCCTAGTGCTATATAGTCGTAATGGCTTGGTGCTTTCCCCTGCTGGTAGTTGCCTTCCTTCTTATCCACTTCAGCTTCCAAAAGCTTCGTAAAATGTGCATACAGGGTTTTGTTACGATAGTCACGAATATTATACCCACGGGTACCCGGCGTGGCTTCAGAGAGAGAGAGAGAGAGAGAGACACACACACACACACACACACACACACACACACACACACACACACACACACACACACACACACACACACACACACACACACACACACTCACTCACTCTCTCTCTCTCTCATAAACACTCATACACACTCTCACTCTCTCACTCTCTCTCTCTCTCTCTCTCTCTCTCTCTCTCTCTCTCTCTCTCTCTCTCTCTCTCTCTCTCTCTCTCTCTCTCTCTCTCACTCAAAACACTCATAAACACTCATACACACTCTCTCTCTCTCTCTCTCTCTCTCTCTCTCTCTCTCTCTCTCTCTCTCTCTCTCTCTCTCTCTCTCTCTCTCTCTCTCTCTCTCTCTCTCTCAAGATATAGATAACTACACGACATACTTAACAATACAATTGTGCTGCTTCCATCTGTTATAAATAAAACTAGTGCACTATTAATTACTTCCTACTGACGAAAATTAAAATTAAATAATTAACGGTATATGCCGCACCTCTGTGTAACAGGTGTGTACGACGCCCAGGGTGAGGCTGCACCTGTGTAGCAGGTGTGTACGACGCCCAGGGTGAGGCTGCACCTGTGTAGCAGGTGTGTACGACGCCCAGGGTGAGGCTGCACCTGTGTAGCAGGTGTGTACGACGCCCAGGGTGAGGCTGCACCTCTGTGTAACAGGTGTGTACGACGCCCAGGGTGAGGCTGCACCTCTGTGTAACAGGTGTGTACGACGCTTAGTGTGAGGCTGCACATCTGTGTAACAGGTGTGTACGACGCCCAGGGTGAGGCTGCACCTCTGTGTAACAGGTGTGTACAACGCTTAGTGTGAGGCTGCACATCTGTGTAACAGGTGTGTACGACGCTAAGGCTGCACCTCTGTGTAACAGGTGTGTACGACGCCCAGGGTGAGGCTGCACCTGTGTAGCAGGTGTGTACGACGCCCAGGGTGAGGCTGCACCTGTGTAGCTGGTGTGTACGACGCCCAGGGTGAGGCTGCACCTGTGTAGCAGGTGTGTACGACGCCCAGGGTGAGGCTGCACCTCTGTGTAACAGGTGTGTACGACGCCCAGGGTGAGGCTGCACCTCTGTGTAACAGGTGTGTACGACGCTTAGTGTGAGGCTGCACATCTGTGTAACAGGTGTGTACGACGCCCAGGGTGAGGCTGCACCTCTGTGTAACAGGTGTGTACAACGCTTAGTGTGAGGCTGCACCTCTGTGTAACAGGTGTGTACGACGCCCAGTGTGAGGCAGCACATGTGTAACAGGTGTGTACGACGCCCAGTGTGAGGCTGCACATCTGTGTAGCAGGTGTGTACGACGCTCAGTGTGAGGCTGCACCTCTGTGTAACAGGTGTGTACGACGCCCAGTGTGAGGCAGCACATGTGTAACAGGTGTGTACGACGCCCAGTGTGAGGCTGCACATCTGTGTAACAGGTGTGTACGACGCCCAGTGTGAGGCTGCACATCTGTGTAACAGGTGTGTACGACGCTCAGTGTGAGGCTGCACATCTGTGTAACAGGTGTGTACGACGCTAAGGCTGCACCTCTGTGTAACAGGTGTGTACGACGCCCAGTGTGAGGCTGCACACCTCTGTAGCAGGTGTGTACGACGCCCAGTGTGAGGCTGCACCTCTGTAACAGGTGTGTACGACGCCCAGTGTGAGGCTGCACCTCTGTAACAGGTGTGTACGACGCCCAGTGTGAGGCTGCACCTCTGTAACAGGTGTGTACGACGCCCAGTGTGAGGCTGCACATCTGTGTAACAGGTGTGTACGACGCCCAGTGTGAGGCTGCACATCTGTGTAACAGGTGTGTACGACGCTCAGTGTGAGGCTGCACATCTGTGTAACAGGTGTGTACGACGCTAAGGCTGCACCTCTGTGTAACAGGTGTGTACGACGCCCAGTGTGAGGCTGCACACCTCTGTAGCAGGTGTGTACGACGCCCAGTGTGAGGCTGCACCTCTGTAACAGGTGTGTACGACGCCCAGTGTGAGGCTGCACCTCTGTAACAGGTGTGTACGACGCCCAGTGTGAGGCTGCCGGCGTCTGCTGCAACACTTGTAAATTGAAACAAGTTTACTAACGTATTCGTGTAAATACTGATCACCTTACAAAAAATATGACAGCTTCTAAAATTGACAAGTAGTTGAGAGGCATTTTTAACCTTTTATCTGAGGTAATGATGAGCATTACCTGTCTTCCAATGTTACTTTTTAAATCAGCGCGTCCTCCTAAGGTTTCCCCAACGTCAAGGAACGGTCGTACTAACGTGCCCTTATCCTAACCTACCAGAGGACCCAAAACAGAAAACGGGACAGTATGTCAATTTTGCATACCGCTTCCATTTTCTAGTACGATGATTTTTGGCCTTAGGTAGAGTATACTGTACGTCAAAATGCGACGTTCCATTAGGAGGACGTTGTTTTAATTCAAGTTCAAATATGTTTATTGAGACGAGAAAGAAATACATCTCAAAGGGATAGAGTAGCTTAGGCTGGGATGCTCCCGGACGCAGGTTCGAATCCTCGTCACGGCCCTTGTGGATTTGTTCAGTAGCTTAGGCTATTTCTACCCCCCCC